AATGATCATGGGATTGACTATTGACATGTCAAAGGTTCATTCCCAGGTGCGGGCATAGGTTTCTTCTGATGATTTTTAATAGCTGCTGTTTCTCTTTCACAGTCGAATGTTTTCCTTTTGTCATCTTGTTGTCAAAATTCCTCTCTGTTCGTTTAGAGAGAACATTATATGATTTGTTCTAGAGCGATGTTTTTTTAATAATAATCGCGTTAAGAAATTAAATTACAAAGTTGTAATTTTGCACAAAATTCGCTCATTTCTCTGCTCGGGCCTGTAGATAGGCCCACGGGCTCACACAATTAAAAATACTGTTTTACATATGAATATTTTAGTTAAATGATGGGGTTTTATTTTAGAAAGTATCATCATCATCTGAGCTTTTTTGGTGATCTTGATCAGAAATATCAGCACTGTCTTCATTTTTATCTTTACCATAAAAATTTTTTATGTATGACAAAATAAAAAGTAAAAATATATTAATAATCAAAAATTGTTTTAAAAGCTCACTCGACTCAGTTTTCAGTGAGGATCAAGCAATTTATTTTCTAGAATTTGTGTTTGAATACCAAATTGTTTGAGTTAGGAACAGTTCAAGTACTGAGATATTGCTGTATTTCATTTGTCATTTTTACAAATGACTACTTACCTACAGTTAAAAGAAGTTTAATAACACTTAACACTTATCTACAAATGTTTAAATAAACTTTTATAAATCAATCTTCATATTCACTAAAACAAAACACAATGTGATCTTAAGGGCTAAAGTCTGAAAGCAACGACAATGACATCTGGTTGATAGGAAAGCTAGAACGAGGAAAGAAACAAATTGCACTATCAATTTTCATTAAAGTAAACCTGGTGAAAGGCATAAAACCAATTGAAAATTTCAATATTCTAAAATCTGTGGGCAAATTTGAGATAGCATGCATGTTTACTTAAATAAAAAATTATCAAATATTGGAGTTTTCACTTAAAAGTTTCAAAATTTTGTCAAGAATTTGAGACATTTACAGTTATAAATTTCTCAGATTCTCAAACTGAGTTAGAGCAAAACCAAGTTGTAGAAGTGCTGTGTTGTCTGAGGGATATCTGTACAATGTTTTAAACAAAATTAGTATCACTAATATATTTTTAAAAAATATGTAATGTTAAATATGCTGCTTTTGTTGACAACATTCCTTTTGTAAATTTTAAATTTCATTCATAAAATTTTGCAATGCAATGGTTTTACTTTATTAAGTAAAAACTGATTTTTTTTTTCCTAAGGACAGATTGAATTTTTTGTTATAATAATAAATATAAATGTTTTTCTTTTAAATTTTATTTTGCTAATTAAATTAAAGAAATTGAATATNTGAAATTTGATTTTTTAATGTTAACTCTCAACAACTGAACTTAATATGCTGTTCTGAAGATCTGACATTTTTGTGTCAATTCCATATTTTTATAGCCTCTAATTTTCATATATGCTTTCTATTATGAAACAATTTTTATAGTTGGCCTATTAAGCCAACATACTTGAAAGAGGCCATTAGGAGAATATGTCCTGGACTTTGGATTTACTGTAGTTTGCAAGTAGGAAGTTCTTCAGTCCTCTTATGGCCATAAGGCCCTGATTTGATATCTTCTGACTTTCATGTTTTCCCATCAACAAATAAGCAAAGTAATTGTTTCCAGGTGGCTGCAGAAATTGAGTCAGGAATTTTTTGTGAAGATGACCTATGTAATTTATTCATCACATCTTCAAGGCCAGCACAAGAGATCTGATGCCCCTAGATAAAGAAAATTTAGCTGCCTATATACAGTATATTATTGATGAATCACACAAATACACATTTTTATAAATATCCATGGGTATGAGTATGTAACATCATTGTAAACATCTTTTTTAAAAGTTTTATTAATGATCAATCTATCTTTTCTTTGCTTAGAGATGCCAGCCTTACTCATAAACAATTGCTTAATGATAAAACTAGCATTGTTGTAGATTCCACTTGCATTTTTATATCACTTAAAAGATGCAGAAGTTGGGTAACATTTTATACATAAATTTACTTTCATTTTTTTAATAAAACTTCTTACAGTTGAAACAATACAGTAGAGCGTCGTTTATCCGAATCAATTGGGGACTGGGGTGGTTCGGATAACTTATTTTTCAAACAACGAATCATGTACGAAAAAATATATTAATTTATCCCATGTTGAAATTTTTCTCCGTTGCGTGTTGCTTCGCGTTGAATTTTCGTCGATGTTAAGCCTAACGAAGACTATTGTATCGTTAAAAATTATTTTTTTTTTTNCACTCGATTTTTGCCCTCCTAAATTGCTATCCACTGACCCTGTGAGCGGGACTCACTGCCCCATTGTCGGAAACCGGTTTAGGCTTTGATGCATAAACCCCGATTCTCACACCTGTGTCTATGGATCAGCAGTTGCTCCATAGACACGAATTCATAATTGCATTTTATGCATATAGCCATGGGTAATTGGCACAAAAAGTACAGTAAATAAATTCTATTGTTATTCCAGCATTAAGCTAAAATTGTTATTATTTTTATATGACAAAATTTGGTAATCTTTGTATTTGGTAATGGATTTAAGTGTAATTTCAAAAATACTGCAAAGAAGTACATACATTCTTCTGCAGATTTCTTAGATATTCAGCTTTGTGCCTGAGAGGATCGGTTGAAAGTCCATCAGCAAAAGACACCAGCCCACGGGGAAAGTTGTGCTGTGCAAGCCAGGAGATGACTCTTTGCTGCTGCATGTCTGGACGACCGGTGATGTAGACGAGGACATAACCCAGTTCCTGCCAGTGCCTGAAAAAATCTGACCACTGCAATATCAAATTTTATTTGACTTTAAAGTTTAAAAAAAAAAAAAAAAAAACAGTTGTTAATAAAGAAATATTAAATCCAAAAAGACTTTGTTGTGTGTGTTTATTTTTTCTGATTTAAATTAGTGTTTTACCAAACTTACTTCAGAGTTGAAAATTAAATATTGATAAACATTTTAAAAATAGTTTATTTTTTCAGGTCTAAGTCAAAAATATATACATTTTTCAATTAGAATTGAAATGTGATTATAACACATTCCCTATTATGTAAGTGTTTTTTCAGCTTGTTTATTACATGATACATAATAAACAAGCTGAAAAATACTGCATGAACATTATAAAAACATTATAATAGGTTTTGTTTTATACTTTTAACAGCCAAATCCATGAGTCTAATTTCAGCATTTTATGTCCTTGTTTTACTTCATTTGTTTAAACTAAAGTAATGTGCAACTTTACTGCTATTGTCAGTTCTCTTCAAGTTTTAAAATTTTTAATAAGTTTGGTAAGGTAAAGAGTTGAAATAATTAAAATGCTTGCCTTTATGTTTTTACTATGATCCATTTGTCTGTCAAGATTAATAATGCTTCAGTTACAATTTTTCAAACATCATTATTTTATGACACAAACTTTTTCAAAAATCTTTGTGTAGCTTGAAGATATTATGAGCACAAATAGAACAAAAGTAATGCATCACTTGTCATACAATGCATCTTGCAAAAGATAGTATGATTTGATTCTTTATCAAACTGAGTAGAAGACAAAAATATGTAATGGTTTTAGGAGATTAACACACACAAATTACTTGAAACATTCAAATTCATTTACTTAATGAGATATTTAAATTTGCAGATTTTAGGAACAAATTCTATATTTATCAACTGTCTTGATAAGTGAAAAATACTCAAAAACAGTTTAACATATTTATAAACTTTATTCCAGTAATGCAAATTATTAGAATAAAATTTTTAAACAGGTTGAAATGTAACAACCTGTTTCTGTTGTTGTTTAAGTGAAAATTTATTGTTTGATTCAAATCAAAATTTTATTTATTTTGAATCATCTAAAAAATTTAGAATACAGTGTGTGATTGGTTAACTAACAAATTGGATAATAAACACTTTCGCAAAAGATTTTTATGATTGGACAATGAACACTTCACTGAACAAACATAAAAAGAAGTGACAGAAATAGCAAATACCGATTGATTTTCCTTTGATTTGTCTTCAGGTAACTTTTTGGAGCGCAGGAGACGTCAACGTCAACACTCAACCCGATATATACTGATCAGATAGTATTCCTCGAATTTTGAAATAGTCCCTTGTAATTCCAGCCTTTTATTTTTCTGACAAACAATTCTTTTATAGTATTCGCAAGACTGTCGGGTGGGCACTCATTAAGTTTTGTGTCGGTTTTTATTTTCAAAAGGTGAGAGTATAATAGCAAAGGTAGAGAGTGGGCAGAAAATGTCTGATGTTGCTGGGCAGTATGGCTTGAACAAATCTACAGTAGGGTGCAGTTCAATCTTATCTAAGAAAGATACTGTATAATTAAGAAAACTCGAGCAGCTAAAGGAGTAACAAATATCACATCTGAGAAATAAAGAACATTGAAGAGCTTGTAATGGAACCTGGAACAAATCTGACGACAGAAGAACGCCAAGAACTCTTGAATGAAGAACACCAAGAAACTTGACGAGATATGTTTTATTATGAAAAAGAGGATTAATGCCGATATATCTGCTATTAACTAAAGATCTTTTGAAGAAGTGGGGGATGTCAGATCAACAGTCTTAGAATGGCATCCAAACCAGGTTGAGGCTTGGGGATTTCTACAATTGCAATGCTATTAATTCTGAAAATCCTGAAGAGAGAAAAGCAATCAACATTAGACAGATTATTTAACCCCCACAAACAAACAAAACATGAGTAATAAAAATGCAAGTCTGTGTGTATATGTGTTTTTATTATTACATATAAATAAATGTAGTAAGAAAGTATATATTTTTTATTTTTGGGGTCTCCAGAATGAATTAATCAAATTCCCATACAAGCCTATGGTAAATTGATAATCAGTTAACGAACAATTTGGATAGCGAACAAAGTCTTGGAATGGATTATGTTCATTAACCGATCACCCACTGTATTTACCAAANAGCAAAAATTTAAATTTGCCGACTGGAATGCTTTCGGATAACCAGCTTTCGGATAGACGACGCTCTACTATATTAAATATTGAAGTTGCAGAGCTCAGAAAAACATCTTTGATGTGGATGATGTTTGAAGAATCACAGATCATCATCATAAAATACAAGAAATAATAATCATAACAGAACATCATCAAAGATGTGGAGGATGATCTTCTGTTGTGATTATTTCAAAATATCAATTTCTCTTTTTGAAGATAAATACCATCGGTAAATTTGTGTATGTTGGGGAGATGTGCATAGAAGCTGAGTTGTTTAATTAACCAAAATTTCAATTATGTGTAATATAGGTATGATACATTTTGGACTAAACAGGCACAGATATAGTTATTTGTTTAAATGCATCATTATCAGTTTTTCTTTTTTTTGTTTGTTGAGAACTTGCTTCTTCAGTTTCGTGTGGTACAATGGATATTCTAACAGATTCTTTAGATACATGAATCATTCTTTGGTATCTCATAATCAGATGATTTAATAATTTGACTTTGCTATCATCCAATAAATTATCAATTTATACTCTCAAGTAATTCTTCAATATTATTGCCAATTCCCTTTTCAGGCTTTTGATAAGTTGTCAACAATTCTGGAGAAACTTGGGCCATTTGCTTTGCCATTAAATTGCTTTTCCTATTAAACCATCAGCCATAGACAACAACAGACCCAACAGAAGAAAAAGTGCACCACCAGATTGGTTATTTACTTTTTCTTCCTTGTTATTTAAAGAAATGTTTTACAATAAATTTCCTAAAAACACTTTTATAGTTTCTTAATTTATGACCATCAGATAATATATTTCCTCTCAACAAATTATCACATATTTCATATAAAACTTTAATTTGATCTGGAGATGCTTCTTTCAACATTGCCCTTCTCTGCAAAGCAGTAGTCTTTGCTAAAAGTGCCAACATATGATCATTTTTTTCATTTTATTGCTAAGTACGTCCAAAAAAGTACCTTGTTTATCAAGAAACAGGATTCCTTCACAGAAAATTTCTTATCCACTTTAGGATAAAAATCCAATAACAAATAACCAAATTCCTTTTCAGTTGCTTTTTTATATGCATCTATGAAAAAATCAAGTTTTCCAGCAAAAGGATAGCAACCCAAACAATTCACTACTTTCACATCATAATTCTGTTTTTCAGAAGTAAATTTGACATTATTACGATTATGCTTACATTACAATGATGAAATTCAGTTGTAAACAAAAATGTCATTTTTGGAGACATTCATGCATCACATTATCAATCATCTTTGCATAGAATCAGGTAAACTATACATAATTGTAATATCTTTTTAAGCATTTTTTTGTATATTTTTTAACAAATGATTATTCTTACCAATATAGTTTTCCCAGATTGTAATGGTCCAACAATTATACAAGTACTTGGATGTTTGAAATACATGCCAATCTTATCAATTTTAATAAATTAATAAAATTTTGATCCAGAAGTTATCTCCTTAAATATTAACAAATCCTTTTTGTTCTTTTCTATATAAATTTCTTTCATATGTTCTGCACATTGTTCAAACGAACTATAATCTGTTACTTACATCACTAACAATTACAAAACCAAACTTTCCTTCTCCTTCCAAAACTCCATTAACTTTAAAATAACACAAGAAAATAGGAAAATTATTTACCACAGCAATACAAGAATTCAAAGACTTGTATAAATGAGGAGAAACAGTATAAATTTTATTTACGTAAAAAGTAGTAAAAAAACATGGCCAATGGTATTACATTTAATTATAGAAATAAATATAATACTGTCGGCCATGTTTTTTTACTATTTTTTTACTTAAATGTATTATTGTGATAATGGCAAGAGTACCAGAGGATGCCTTTTTACCATATTTACATTTTATTGTGGAGGCAGTAGCCTCTAAAGAAAGGTTGCCTCCGTACTTGTGAATTTTATGGACTGTTGCTGGAGTGAACGATGGAAGAGTAATGGAAGCAAAGTATTTACCTTTGTTAAAAACGTTGTACTTTTATATTTATTTCTACAGTAAGTAATAAGAAAATCATACATCTCCATGATTGGTTATTATTTGATACAAATTAAGTTTAAAAGAATTAGTAGAAGAAATATTCTTTAAAAATAGAAAATATAGTCCAAAGTGTATGTACCTATACTTTTATTATGTCATGGCTAAGATTTTCAAATTTAAATCAATAGTTCTAAAATCAAAATAAAGGTACTAGCAGAATATCAAATTACCTGACAACGTCCACTGCTCCTGCCCTCACTTTAGGATCCTTTCCAGTGACGGACACACTGGCTGTGAATGAGCCATCTATGCTGAAGACCACACACTCTGTCTTCTGGGGAACCACAGCCAACAGGAATTCCAAAGATGTGCGATCTCCCCTAGAGGAAAAATTTTGTTTTAAAAATGTCTGTAGAGCAGAAATTGTTAGTGTCATAGAGATTAGATTTAGTAGTTACAAAAAACTGGAATAGTAGTAAATTCAAAATTAAAGGTTTATTGTTAACACATATTCCAAAGCACCAAAAAAGAATGAATAATTAAGTGAACGCTATAATTCCATTACTTTATTGTTTATTTTATTTTTAATATAATAAATAGTATTGTACAGAGTGCTTCAAAAAATTTTAATACTTATATGGAGAAAGTGGCAATTACTGCAGCAGAAGTAGCAGGATTGCACCTTTTACAGAACTCCACAGTCAGGTTATGAGTTCTTGCACACAATGAGAACAACATGCCACTGCAAATCCAGCATAAGAAGTTATTTATTACCATATTAGTGTTAACATTTTTTGAAGCATCCTGTATAACATTGTATGTGGTATTAATAACTATTATTATTATAATTTACTTTATGCTACTGTGACTGTGTGATACCAGTACAGTGAGGTCATCATTCAGACATTGCAATGCATTTAAAAGGAAATTTATTTATTCCTGTAATTCTGGAGGTCTTTTTTTATTGTATGTTTTTGTTAAAGTCTTCCAGCATATTCAGGATGAGTCTTATATTATTTTGCTTTTTAAGAAACTTTTCCATCTGTATGCTATATGGCCATATTAGATTCTTGACCAAATTTATGGCAGCACAACATAAAAACTAGAGACAGCACTTTCCTCTTCTTTATTTCCTCTATCAGAGAAATCTGTAGACATTTCACTGAGAAACTAGTAAACTGTAGTGTTAACTCTTTTTGTTGCAATAGGACATTTGGAATACAAAAAGTTTCTACAGAAAATTTCAAAACATGATGTGTCTAAATAGTTAAATAAACAAAAGACATTCAAAAGTTATACCCAAGGCTGTGCCACACAATATATTTTTATTCTAAGAGAAACAAGATCTCATCCATTCAAAAACAGAATAACCATTGTGCAACTAGGGAATAAGTGCATCATTATTTTTTTTTTAATTTAATTAACTCTGCAAAAAATGCACAGTTAAGTTGCAAACTGATTATATCTTTTAACAAGGAGAGACAGAAACATGTTTCACAGATTTGGATCATATGATTATTCTGGGATACTAAAAAATAGTCCCCCCATGAGATCACAGATTCTCCACTAATGAGAAAATTGTGATTTGCTTTTGAACTTGGGGAAATTGGTAGTTATTGAAAAAACAATATACATAAAAATTACTTGCTTTTTTTTTTATTGAATTGTTCATTGAATTAAAAATGTGCAAAGCTTCATTCATCAATTTGAAAAAAATGAAACACATGCAGAAAGATTTCTGAAATCACTAAAAATTCCATAAATATGAACCTGACTGTCATCTTGACCGGAAATATTCCATAAGTCAACATTTTATCTTCAGGTATAGTGTAACTGATGCGACCGTTCTTGTCAGTGACTTCTGTGCTGAAGAGAGACCATTCTCCCGTTCTTACATCTTTCATCACGTGAATATCAATCTGGTAAAAATACAAAAAAATTAACTCAAAGTTAAATGTGCTAAGAAAATAATTTTACAAACCTTTTCTCCAGTCAGGGCAACCATGTCCAATGGTCCATACATAAATCTGGCATTGAGAACTTGTGGATTTCCTTCTTTGACTAGTACGTCATTAGCTCTATGATTTGCTGTTATGTTCTGCAATGTAATTAAATCTTTTTTATGTGGTCTATATATGCATGTTTTGAAATTGAAATTTAAAAAAAATAAGTTTTAAATGGAAATATCTAAAATAATACTTTTTTAATTATATGATCACTAATGTAATCAATACCAATATCAACTCATAACCAATATTGTTTTGTTCCATTGACTATTGACTATATTGTTTTGTTACTATATATTGACTATATATTGACTATTCTGTTATAAAAGTATGAGAATTAATTTTTGTCCAACATCAGTGCCATAAGTAACTTTACATGTGTGCTGTACAAGGTATTTTCCAGAAAAGGAAAACGAAAAATAAAACATAAAAGAAACAAATAAAATAGAAATAGTCAATTATATTGTAACTTCAACCAAAAATATTATGGTGTTGGCCCCTGCAGCAGCAAAATTAAAATTTTAGAATAAAAAACATAATACTGATCACTTTGGGGCTCTTTGTCTTGTACATCCATTGTATCTGCTTAGTCCAATATACATATAAATAATTCATAATTTGTAATTATCATAAACAATTTTTTGAAAATTCTCATGTCTATTAAATTACAGCAAAATTTTATACATTGTATCACAAAGACATTTTTATTATATCTGTATATAATTTTTTTGTAGCAGTTACGATTTTCAATGGAGATATTTTTCCAAGCAAACTGTGCATCAATCTGAAAAACTCTTCAGTTTTTTAATATTTTTAGTATTTGGCACAAAAATCTAATGTAATCCTTTAATATTTTTTTCTATCAATTTTCAAAAAGAAAAGAAATTTTGGTTACATAATCTTACTTTTAATTTTACGGAGGTCCTCTTCTTTAACCACTTCTCTCGAACAGTAGACGACTGAGAGCGAGGAATTTCCTTTTCGCTCTCTGCAGGATGTCCCAAGTTGTTAACTCTAATAATCTAAAGAAAACAAAAAATTTTGACATATCGTAAAAATGAGTTAACATAAATTAATTTATGCAGATTTCCATTACAATTTGATAATGCTTCTCTTAAACATTGGAATTTTTGTTCTTACAATTGTTTTGAAGATAAAATGTAAAAAGTCTTGGTGAGTTATTCTTTGTACTGTGTGTGTTGCAACATCAATACAAGATAATGGTGCTCCTTTAGGTTTGCATCAAAGAGAAACTTATTAAATCAAAGGCTTTAAAAATATGTTTTCATAAAGGGTGTGAGAATGCTCACAACTATTAAGTAAATTTATTTCTGATGTAATGTAAAAACTGGGAACAACAAATTATCTATATATTACAAAAAAAAAATTCACAAGTTTTTGGAAATTCTCTTGTCAAATAACATACTTATGCCATAAACCTTGTGCAAACAAAAGCAGAACATAATGGCAAATTCTCTAAATGTTTTATTTTTAAATATTATAAAATTATTGTTAAAATATGTCATTAATTGAATATCCAGATTCAGATTAAACAGAATATCAAAGTCCATTCTATAATTATAAAATTCTAATTAATTTAAACAAAAATTCTTACTTGTCTCAGAATAAATGCAATGACATCTGTAGATTCCCAATAGCTGGCGTGAAACAAGTAGGGTAAAGCATTCAGTGGAAAATTTGTCAGTCCATCAGGACAATACAGAGCATAATCCAGTCGCTTTGTTCCCCACCATCTTTGGCTTACTGAAACGATAGTTAATTTTCTATAAATTCTTTATAACAAGCATGATTAAAACTGTACTGATGCTTGAAACTGAAATAAATAATGTGTTAAGTTTCCAAGATTTGTATAAATATGTAAACATTTTGAACTGCATATGATGTAGATATTATAATATGCATTTGTGCAGCTGGATATTTTTATACTAGAATCAACTGTGAGTTTTTCTGACAAACTTCTATATTCATCTTTTTATAGTTATCAATTTCTCATTAGCAGCATTAAAGTAGATGGGAAAATATGAGAAAAAATTTTAATTTTTTCTACATAGTAAGTAAAAATGCCAAGATTGGTCCACTCTGATTTTTGCATCTGACAGTAATTCATTATTTAGGAAAATCAGAGAAATAAAAAATTTGGCGACTTTTTGTGACTTTAGATATTGGAGTGCATTTTGTGTAAATACTTGCAATGAAGTTTCTAAGAAAAGTGATCACAAGCTTGCTGCAGCAATCGTGTTTGTGTATTGGTAAATAAATATATTGGTTGTCATTACTTTTTGTGTATTCAGTATACTGTATTGAACAAAATTATGTGGACCACGTCCCACCATTCTCTATGTGGCGCAAGGCGCACCATGAAAAAAGTTTGGTGACCCCTGGTCTATGGCAATGTTTTCCTGTGATATTCCTCAAGGACACAATCTGATCAGAATTCCAAATAACTTACGACACTTCATATGCATATCAACTTTGGTTGATCAAACAGCTTCAGAAGAGTTTATTTTGATCCAATGACATTTAAGTGAAGAAATGGGCTTTGTTCACTCTGCTTGAAAAATACTATTTCAATAACTAAGACACTAAGTTCATTTTTGGCAAAGCTTGATGTATCTACTGTACTTAATCTGCTGAGTTTCCCTTTAACATTCCATTTTCATCTATCCATATCTGAAGTTGGTCCCTTAACCATGTAGAGAACATTACTGTTCCTTCAACTTCACTCATTTCACCCACTGTTTCAACAAATCAACATGCCTATTATAGAAAAAAATATTATTGAAATGACAATTTAGAATAGAAAATAGAAAATTGTGTATGAAAATACACAATTTTCTATTTTCTATTCTAAATTGTCATTTCAATAATAGAAAAATAGAAAATTGTGTATGAAAATACACAATTTTCTATTTTGCAGAATTAAAACAATAAATTGTTGCACTGGTGCTTCATCAATATTATTGCTTTTACACTCTTATGAAATCATTATTGGGCTGCAATTTGAAAAAACTGTAGGCCTATAAATTCCTACACTGTTGTCCGTCTATCTTTAATCTTGAGAATGGAGTTAGATAAATGAAAGTTGAGACCAGATATGGAAACATTAGGGGCAGGAGGCCCCGATGAACTAAATGAACTTTGATGAAAACTGGAAGTCACATTATTTCAATTCAAAAATTTTTCCCTAAAAGGGAGTTAGATAGATGACCTGCATGACTCTATTGCTAATGGAAAAGTATGATTTACAGGGGCAAGCAACTACTAATTTGAGGTGGAGAGCATATATTTTAAAATAAAAAATTATTAAAAATTGCAATTTGGCATTGTGATGATGTTACAATAAATAATTGCTTGTTTCATTTACCTTAAGTAAATAGTTATTTATTTTTTTTAAATAAATTCTTTTTTTTGTATGTTTTTGGACTTGATGCCATGTTAATCAATGAGTTTGTTTGTAAAGTCAAATGAGTTAGAGAATGATATTGTCATTACTCTTCTTTTCATAGAATATTTTAACCAATTTGTTTACAAAAAAAATCCAGGAATGAGTTGCATAACTTTCCCAGGGAAGCTGGGAAAGTTATGCAACATGTTGCTGAATTCTTTTTATGTTCATGCTAATATCTTTGTTTCTTTAAGTTAAAATTGTGTATGAATCTGTCATTATATGATGATATTAAAAAATAACTTAAATTATTAATTATTATAAAAAGACAAAAAGTGTAATTTTGAGAGCAGAGATGAATTTGTTTAAAAGTTGTAAATGCCAAAAATGAGTAAAATCTTCAGTCCATCCCCCACTCAAAACATGACAGATGATCCTCTTGACCTTTAACTAAATTTAATAGCATCAATTTCCTTTATATATATAAGTTACCATACCAAATTTTGCAAAGATTAAGATCTTTATCACATCTTGAGATATTATATGAAATAGATACCAACAGATGCAATAATCACAAAAAAAAATTTTGTATGTATTTGACTGTTTTTCATTCAGGAATCTCAAAAAGTCAAGATTTGAAAAATTCCTTGTGTCAAATTTGAGATCATTACAATACTTTCCTATACATAACAGGCAGGACTATTTCTAAAGCTGAATTTGTGAATGTTGTCTTATCCAAAATATTTTTCTCAGATTATTTCACATGGGAAGTTATTCATGTCATTTCATCTTTTAATTATGGCTCAGCTTGGCCTATATGGCCCTTGCGCCATATAACACCAACCTACCAACCATCTTTTAATCCACAGTTCATACATTCAAATGAATTTAGAAATATCAATATCTTTCATTTACTTCCCAATGTGACCTAAAATTCTTTCCTTTGTGAATTTTTGTTTCATACACTGTATGGAATTAGTACTTCGAAAACTGTCTCATTAGCAATTTGAGTTAACTTGTTTGACTTAACGAATGCAAGATTTGTAATACAAATGAGCTATGGCAGAAAATTTTAAAAATTTCAAATAAAATATTTCATTCAATCAAATTAATAAAATACTTCTTATTTAATTATACTAATTTTTTTCATTTAGAAAGTGATTTTTGCATTAATACAGGGAAAAAAGACTGTGCATAAATTGTTTACATGGAAAAAATATACTGTGATATATGTATCACAGTATATTTTTTCTATAGATATTTAAAAAAGAGTAAAAACAAATTTGCACAACTCCTTTCCCTATTTTTAATTTGATTATCGAAAATGATCTCTTATAAAGTTAATATCATTATCACTTCCATCTAACATAAAATATATACTGTACAGTATATGTTTAAAGTAAAATGCTACATTAAGGATTCAAAGTCTGACTATATAATATTTACAACAAACAAATTACAGGTATCCCTTGTATAACACAGTAATTATGTTCCAAAAAAGTGCAAATCCAACCTATATGAAACAAAGGACTAATGCAAAACAGGGTTACGTTCCAGAAGTTAGTAATGAAAAAGAATAATATACTTTTGTTAAGCAAAATATGTTTATTAAAGCACTTAACAATTTATTCAATAATCAATAGTCAATCAATAATTAATTAACAATACAATTAAAAGTACTGTATTATGCGTTGTTAATATTAATTTTAGTTAAACAAGGACATTTTCCTTTTTACAAAGTATCATCGTCATCTCAGCTTTTTTGTTGTTGATACTTCTGAATAAGATCAACATTTTCATATTTTTATTTTTATCATAAAAATATTTTATGGATGACAAAGCAAAAATATGTTATTTAATCGAAAATTTGTTTTAGCAGGTTGCATTTGTTCAGTTGAGTATCAAGCAATTTTTTTCCCAGAATTTGTGTTCAAATGCTGGATTGTTCAAGTATAGAGATACCACCGTATTTTATTCATCATTTTACAAATGATTTCTTACCTACAGTTAAAAATAAGTTTAACAACACTTTACTAAATATGAAAATCAAACACTTTTAGGTAAATTTATTTAATCTAAAGACTGTCACTGTGCTTTCTTTATGAAGTCTGAAAGCAACAATGACACCTGGTTGATAGGAAAGTTAGTCTTTTTCCTATCAGTTTTCATTAAAGTAAACTTGATGAAAAGCATAAAATAATTTGAAAATTTCAACATTCTAAAATCCGTGGGTGAATTTGAGAAAACACACATGCTTACTTGAATAAAAACAATATTGACTAAGAAAGTTTACACTTAAAAATTGTGAAATTTTGTACAGAGGATTTCCAAAACAGTGTTAGAGCAAAACCAGAAGTTGAAAATTGGGATATCCCTAATTTTCAAACTGTGTTAGAGTGAAACCATGTTGTAGAAGTGTCGTGTTGTGTGAGGGATACCTGTATACTTGTTTTGAGTAATTTATAAAAATTGAAACTAAAAAATGTTGTATTGAAATTTCAATGATGTATCTATTAATTTGGACAGTATGTGTGAACTTTCATGCTAATATATTAATATATTAGCATGAAATCATACATATATAATAATTAAATATATTCTTACTTGAAGATATTGATGCTAAAGGTATTGTATCATTAACTCCTGATACATTACTGGCAATACTGGCTTCGCTAGGACGTCTTCCCCTATTTACGGCAGGTGATGTACATGTTGTAGAATCCATAAATAAATGTGAATACATCTGTATGTAATCCACTAAAAATATAAATATTAAAAAATTATTTCTTCATATTAGTAAACATTATCATTTGATTCTATAAAAATAAAAACAAGATCTAAAAGAAAACCATCTTAATGATTGTGATTTTTTAAGTTCTTTTATAATAATTATAGTAGTATTCACACAGGAAAAGTTATAAAACAATATACTGTATTTTCATATTCATAACTCATGGGTTATTCATATTTAACCCTTAACTGGTTTCTTGGGGGCCGCGCGGCCCCCACGCGTCATATTTTTATGATTTTCTAAAAATCTAAATATCGTGTGCAGCTGCCATTTCATGTAATCTCATTACGTCGCGACTTTTAGCGAGTGCCAAATGTTTGGCCCTGTAGCACTTACAAAGATGGAGCTACGTATTTTCTGGGGGCTGTGCAGCCCCCACGATACCAGTTACGTTGGTTTTTTGTGGAAATGTGTTTTTATGTTTTTTTTAATTTTTACAATTATTTTGCAAAGATATCTCAATCTTGCATCAAAAATTCAAAATGACTACCAAAGAATCATTTGAACTGCTAATAGATGATGATAATATACAAATTGCTAGATCAAGCCGAAATCTTCTGAAAAGAGTATGTTGTCATTTTGTGCTGGAAAAAAAGATGGTAAATATGCTACTAAGTGCAACAGTTGTTTGAAATTTATTTGCAAAGTGCATAGTATTACAAAAATACTATGTGATAACTCTCAAGACTGAACTACGTAATCGCGTTAAAATGTTCCTGAGTCTTAAAAATACAAGTGATTATATTACCTGTGGTTTTTTAACAAATGATAGTTAGAGGCTATAAAAGATACTTTTTTATAAGATTAGTTTCTTAAGAATAAGAAAAAAAAATATCTTTGGTATAAACTTACAATATGGTAAATTTTTGTATTGTTAAAATAAGCATACACCAAAATTTGTAACAATTTTGTGATCTCTTGTAATAATTAAGTAAAGAAAATTATATAAATAAATAAAAGTTGATTATACTAAAGAAGGGTTTCATTTAGCATTTATGCCCTTTTGAACTGTCACATTGTTAAACTTGCTCTCTAAAGGCAAATTTTGCTTGGGGGCCGCGCAGCCCCCATGAAACCAGTTACGTTTGAAAAATTTACGATACCAGTTAAGGGTTAAAAGTCAAGTTGAAAGGTTATAAACTATATTGGTTTATACATTGATATTAAACATGCAATTATAATTGTTTAATTATAATACTTAGTTGAAATTATACAGAATTACAGACTTATTCTTATGAAGCAATGGTTGCTCCCATAAATCTGGTCTAGGGCATATGGTAAGGTGGATTATATGAAAGATTTTATTTTTATTCTAATAGGTTATAAGCATGAAAATACAGTGTGTATTTTGTCTTTGGAAAGCATTTAAATTTCAATAAAACAACTGTTTAAAGATACTTAAAAAATGAATAAAAATAATATCTGGATGATTTTGAAAAGCATTTAAACTTCAAATTCACTTAAGTAGTGGAAAATATACAAAATTATTATAATAATTGGAATACACAAATGAGTGTCATACACAGATGAATGGAATTTCCATTTCCTGAAGGATGTTTCTGGTATCTTGACACATTGACTGGTGGCAACTGGGCAAATTGTGCATTCAACAGTGGTTCTATTCTAGAAACTAAAGGATCCGTTGGATGAAATAGATTATACACTTGATTGCAAAGCGGTTTGGCTGGAGGAGCTGTATTGATAGAAACATAAAAAAATGTTTTGAAATAAAATCACTGCAGAACAGAAAACATTTTTATTAAAATTTAAATCACTTACTGTACAATTACATGATAACATAATAATAGAGTTAATAATTGATAATCGTCTACCATATTACTAAGATGATCAATTCATATTCCAATTGAATTTGTACTTAAATTTTCATAAATATCCAAGAAATAATATTTTTGGGCTGCAATTTTCAAATTTCAGATCTATATATTCCCACTGTCGTCTGCCTTTGGTAATCTTAAGAAGAATTAGATAGATGAAAATTGAGACCTGATATGGAAAGCTTAGGGGCTGGATGTCCAACAGACTATATATGAATATCCTATTTGGACTGGAAGTCAAATGATTTCAATTCAAAATTTTCTTGAATACAGAGTTAGACAGATGACCAGCATGATTTAATTGTTATCAGAAGGACTATGACATACAGGGGCAAGAGACCACTAAAATTCAGACCAGATGTGAAAAGCTTAGGGGCCAGAGACAGAGATCCCAATTAACTGTACAATTAACTGGTCTGGATTGGAAATACATCTCATCTTCATGATCAGTGTTTTCATATAAATATTACTATATTTTTGTGCATATAACCCATGGGTTAGCTATGTTTAAAAGACAATTTGAAAAGAGAGTATGAGTTATACACTGATTTTAAATTGCAATTACAAACTCTCATTAATGGAGCAATAGCTGCTCCTGTAGTCATTAGGTATGAAGTGAAGCAGGTTATGCAAAGGTTTTCTTTTTGTTCCATCAATTTTCTGTGGATGATATGAACAAAAATATGGTAATCCTGGTTAATAAATATTGTACCAAAAATTGAATCTGAAGTTATAATCTGATAAAAAAGAAGCAATATATTATCGAATTCTGACATCACATCAAAAGTACATGTGCAAAAATAGATTTGTCTACCATTATTATTATTATTAGTAGTACTAATTTTATTTTATTTATGTAATAAATAAATAAAGTATTCTTAAGACCTTTTTATAAAAAATCTTGACATTTATCTATACACATACTTATAAATACAAATTACAGATGTACTTACAATTTTTATCATCAAATGACATCATTTTCCTGTAGGCTAAAATGGTTCCAAGAGGTGAGCCAAACATGAAAAAGTCACTCACATCAAACTCGAATTTCTGGTTGTCATTCGATCCAGAACTACACTGACGAGGAAGTTTGGAAGAAAGACGAAGGGAATGCCTGTAGTGAATTAAAATCAAGCATTATAATAATTTATAATGTTTTATTATTATTACTTCATGTGAAATAAAAATTTAGTATGAATTTGATTTGTTAACAATTATTAACAGAAGAATAATTATCTACAACTGATTGGTGAATATATATATAACTTTCAATAATAATCTTGTAAATTTTGCATGCCAAAATTTAGCTTGATGTTACTTGCCTTTTGATAATTTACTGCAAATGAATTTTTCAAAAACTTTGTCACAAACAATTTTAATGAATGAGTAATTACCAAATAATCTCACACATATTGAGCAATTTCTCTAAAGTTAGAAATTTTTTAATAATTGAAAATTATTATATTTATTTATTTACTGAAAAATATATTTTAATATTGTATGTAATAAAATATCCAAAATTGTTCTTATTGTAAAATAAAAGAAATCAGAGTTAAAATAGCAGTGTATAATGTAAAAAAAATCACACTTACACTATGTCAATACATTTTTATATGATCAATTAATTGCTAATCAATTTTTCTTCATTGCTCATTAATACTTATTTATAGTGAGATATGAGAGGACAACTGAAACAGTTTAGGTGTCATCCAGATTTGATCTTGGATCCCTACTATGGGGATCCAGGATGAAATCCAGACAAATCCTAGAAATTTTATAAGTGATCTGTTCTGGATGTGTCACGTCCAATCCCTCACTACCTAGTAGCTCTAACTTGGGCTTGATCAAAACATGATGAATATGAAAAAAAGGCACTCTTACGCTTATGGTGCAGAGTCAAAAATGAAAAGAAATTAGTTGTGAAAAATTCACATTATTAAAAATATCAGTTGTTTAATTTTTCATAATATGCCATTTATATATATATATATATATATATATAAATGGCATATTACCAAATTATCAAATCAGATTATCAAATCAAAAGTATATAATGACAGACCTTGATGGATCATGAGTTCCATTTCCCGATTCCATAGGATGAATGTATGATCTTCCACATATTTCATCATCATCTTTCTTAACATTAGAAATAGGAAACAGAGCAGAGTGTGAAGAATAGTGATGTGACACAGTTGCTTGGGTCTGATCCGCATCAGCAATACTAGTTTCACTACCAAAATGACTTCCAATTTGTGATGTGCGACACAAAGCATCATAAGCCATAATTGCTCCCACACTGTCACCAACAATTATGACCTATTTAAAAAAAGCAAATATTTATTTTCCTTTGAATATCAGCATTAAACTTTATTTCAATTCAATATAAAAATGTTAAAATTTTTGAAGTTACATTACCTGCCCTCCAAAATCTTTCCCTTCTTCTGAGCTTAAGAATTCACGGTAAATTTGATTACATGAAGATATTACAGTTGATACATGCTCCTGGTATTCAGGTGAAGAGATGGCAAACAGAGAAAGAGCACCAATAGGAATAGAGTCATAAGTGTTAGATATACCATCAATTGCAGAAGGAGATGCTTGAAAACTATATGGGCTGAGACTGGAATGAGATATTTATCAATTTGCTCTTTAAAGATTTTAATCATACTTCAGTATACAATAAATATCATTTTAAAGATGAGAAATGTCCACACTCACTTTGATAACACAGCTAATGCTTCTGAACAAATGGATGGACAAGAGACCAGACGGATGGATATATGTCCCATTATACCAGGATAATTATGATGAGTGATATTTTTAAAGGCACTGATAAATGTGGTAATGTCTGATTTTTTGTTTGTTATTGATTCGGCACCAGAATCCAGTATGCTTCCAGCATGAAGGACTAAGATTAAGGTGTTTGTCGAAGAATTTAAACGATGGGAAGGCGAACTAGTTAGGGAGACAGAATCAAGGTTGACTCTAGAATTTCTTTCTTGAAAAAATAATTCTTTCTGAACCTTCTTAATATGTACTGAAGAAAATATGCTATCTGTTGAGTTGGGGTGCGATTTTAAATATAAATTTGGATTTGGAAGAGGAAAAATTGGGAATAGGAGAAAAGAAAAGTAGAAAAACAATTATTTACAGTTATTTTGAACACTACATTTTAAATTTATGTTATAATTTAAATAAGAATATTAAATATTATTTCTTATTAAAACAAAGCAAAACTTTACATTATTGATCCTAAACTTACATATAGTCTTACTTCTTGATGTATTAAACAATATCAGATAAGCATTTAAAAAATTTATAGACATTCTTAGGGTAGACATTATAGGGCATTCTTATTCTTTAAAGAATTATATTATATAGAATTTCAGATAATTTTTATAATACAAATATAATTATGAGTAATTTATATATTAAGCATTCTATGTTTTTAAACTTTATAAGAAATTGGAAGTGATGTCAAAGGAAAATCATCCATAGAAAATACTATCTTGCTGTTGTGAGTGGTATTAAAGGATTGCAACAATAATTTGTTTAAAAATGTTTGTTTGAAAAATAAATGAAATAGTTATAACTTTGAATACTAATAATTCTTAAATTCTCATTTTCCTCATCAAAAATATCCAGTTAAAAATATAAACATTTAAAAAACTCACCAGTCCTGTTTTTTAAATGTTTATATTTTTAACTGAATATTTTTGTGTTTTTTAAAGGACTGTTTGGCAGCCAGTAGCCTAAAAGGAAAGGTCAGTCGCCAAAAGTGTAATGTCTGGAACACAAAGTTAATAAATGGTGGTTCCTATTTTTTGAAAAGGACTTTGTCTTCAAAAGAATTAATCAAAATTAAAATTCTTCATATCTGCATTGATTTTTATGTATTTTTTTAGTTTATCACTTCTTATAGTTTATTTTATCAGATTATTTGCACATACTAGTAACAATTTTAATACTAGTCATGTTTGTGTAAATATGCAATACTGTATTGATTTTCTACTAAAAGTAATTTACAAAAATTTAAAAAAAAATTATTATTAATTAAATGATCAAAAATTTTTAAGTACTTTATATACTAAAAATTTTATATAAAACGTTCGTTTGTTTTAAATTATAATTTATTTTAGTTAGAAATACATCCTGTAGACTATGTAATAATTATCATATTGCACATAAATTTTTTAAACTTTTATAAAATTGTCAAAATTTACATTTCAAATTTACATTTTCAACAAAAGATATATATTTTTATTTTAAATGCATTTTGAAGATGACTCATGTTAAACTTTGTTTGAAGTCTCCAGTTACATCAGCAATAGAACTTGTTTGTTTTATAATAGTCAACAGAGGATAATTTGAAATTCTATTTTCTCCTAATTTAGAAAAAGTATTTAATTTATGTATTATTTTGTTTGTTGACATATATTAATTAGACATTTACTCACCATCTTGGCTTTCATTTAGTAATCCTTCATTATCTTTTTCTGTACATTCTAGTATTGCTTCTGAGCAACTTCTGGCTAATATTTGTGCACCATCATCATCATCATCATCATCTATTAAAACAAAATAAAAACATTGTAAATTTATAAAATGAAATATGATGATTAAAATTTTCAAACTCTTATTTTGAAGAATATAATTACAGTTTGAAAAAGTCTTGAACTAATTGTCAAGCATTTCAATATTAGCATACTTTTTATATTTATATTTTTCACAACATTTTCTACAAATTATTTTGTATGTACACTTTGATGGATACATGACAAATGTTCAGGTTGAGCTACACACCAAACATTTTGTTCTACAATAATAAATAAATAATTGTCTTAACTAATGTTTTAATTATCATAATTGTAATTTGCTAAAACAAGACTCAGCCTAGTTATGCAAAATACTAACTATCAAACCAGAGCCGGCCTTCTCTGTAAAGGGGCCCGGGTGCAAGAAACTATTTGGGGCCTAAATTTTTTGTAAAGTAAAAAAAAATTACAAACACGAACATATATTACTAATGCATGTTTATTTAAAGCGTAATTTTGTTTTTGCTAATACATTATCTACTTCAGAAAAATTACAATTTTTTTTCGATGCTTAATATAGCAAGTGCATTTAAGCGTTCTTCACACATGCTGGACCAAAGATAATTCTTTATTAATTTTAATTTGCTGAAAGAGCGCTCAGCACTTGCTATAGTAAGTGGCAACGTAAAGAAATGTTTTAACACAGTTAATACATTTAGAAATAACTCATTATAATTATTATTTAGTATGTATTGCAATATGTCTTGTGCGTTATTTACATCCCTTTCATTCAAAATCAAATCCCGTAGCAAACCAATTTCCTGGATTAGGTTTTCATNCAGCAGCGAATGGATAGTTTCTATAAGCGAAATTTACTTTTTCGTGGAAGCCGCCATGTTAGTTTGTTGACTACTCAACGGTCTTTCAGGTCGTTGAGACCGTTGAGCTCAACGGTGAAACAGCGCTGACGTCACTAGTCTCAACGGAGAACTCAACGGTCCATTTAGAAACGTTGTTCTCTCACCGTTGAGTCAACTGTTGAATATAGAAACGTACGGTAAGTGGCAACGTAAAGAAATGTTTTAACACAGTTAATACATTTAGAAATAACTCATTATAATTATTATTTAGTATGTATTGCAATATGTCTTGTGCGTTATTTACATCCCTTTCATTCAAAATCAATTCCCGTAGCAAACCAATTTCCTGGATTAGGTTTTCATCTACATCTTTGTTATAAAACTTTACAAACCTTTTTTCTAATTCATGTTTTTCTAAGGTTTTTATATCAGTAATTAATTTGAAATCGGAAATAATATTTGGTATAATTTTAAATCTATCTTCTATTTGTATAATAACAATATCAATTACAGTGTTAAAAAAAAAAATAACATCTAAATTCCTCTACCGGGTTTCCTATAACTTCATCTTCTGCTATTTAGGAATATAATCTTTTTCTTTTTTGTATTCGTTTATTAGGAAAATGTTCTGAAATATTCAAATTACGTGCTAACACTTTTGCTTCGTCTAAAAATGTGTTAAAATTTGTTCTTAAATTTTGGATTTCAGTTTTAATTTTATTGACTAAATTAAAAGCCGACTCAAGAAGAATTGTTTTCGCTTGAAATAGTACTATACTGATAGCGTTAATTTTAGACAACATTGCAAACTATACTATTAAACATAAAATAAATGACATTTCTTGTATTGAATCCAATAGACTTTTAGCTTCGGATACCGCTATATTATCGTTACTTATATAAATAAATTCTTCTAGGGCATTACAAGTTTGTTTAAACTGTGTATACCCTACTTTAACCAACTCTATTTTGGCTTCCCAATGAGTGTCACATAATGGTTTAAGAGTAATGTTTAAATGTTTTTTTAGAGTTTCCCATCTCTTTGTAGATGCAGAAAATAAGCAATATAAACGTTGCAATATCCCCCAAAAATTTTTACAATATATACTTCTGGAAGCGGTATCGCAAATTAATAAATTAAAAGAGTGTGATAGGCAAGGCACGTATATTGTGTGAGGGTTTAGAGCAATTATTCTAGATTGTACTGTACACCTTTATATTTCCCTTTCATGTTGTTACCGTTGTCGTATCCCTGCTCTCTACAATTCATAATATCTAAATCAAGCTCACTTAATGTTTTCAATAGAATTTTTGCTAGTCCTTCTCCAGTCACATCAGTCGCTTCAATAAACCCTATAAATGACTCATTTATAATTAATCTTTTCTCTTCAAAATTTACATACTAATAATAATTGAAGTTTGTTCCTTATGGGAAATATCAGAAAAATCAGATTTTATTCACTCTCGGATACAACTGACTGGGGTGACGACTACACAAGAACTCCCTCAGACATTCGAAAAGTATGTAGGAATTTCTACCTTTGACCTGACACTTAGATCAAGTGACAACAGATCAGTTATAACAGTTCTCTTTGATTCTTAGAACGGCTAATCCTACCCGGAGACAATAACGGTCACCAGAAAGTTCCAGAAGTAAGACAGACAAAAATAGAAGAAATTATAAAAGAAACATTAAAACTACGACTATATACAAATATACATATAATTTTATATGGCCGACGGCCACAGTATTATTTTCATTTCTTAACGCGGGCTATATGGTATTGAGATTTTTTTCTAAAAAGTCCAATTTAGGTGGGATCCTCGGGAGTTCCCAGAATCAAATAACAAAAACTAAACACTCGCATCATCAAGAATTAGTTTGAAGATTGTCGAAATTCAGAGATCTACAATAATAATGTTTACAATAAAATATACTTTTCGTCATACTGACAACGATAGGAATATTGTCAAGTTTTCGTGTGCAAGAGTACATTATTTTAGTTCTTGATAATGTTGGGCCCCCTCAATCGCGGGGCCCCGGTGCGTAGCATCCGCCGCACCCCCCAGATGGCCGGTCCTGTATCAAACAATGGTAATGCTTATATCATTTTATACTTCAATAAACCATTATTTTTTTTTATCAACAACAATAAAGAATCTAACAAAACAAACTAATAATTTTCTCCAAGCAAAGTTATTTACTAAGACAAATGTTTCCAATTAAATGTTTAATTAAATTCCAATTAATAATCAATATCAAATTCAAGGAGAAAGTATCAATAAATATAAATCACTTTTAATAAAATCACTTCAAGACGAATAAAGTAATAAATTTTAAAAAATTAGAATCCTTAGTTGCAATGAAAGTGGAAAAAAAATGGAAACTTTTTCTCAATAAAAAGCTATAGACTTCAGATTTATTTGTTTAAAAATCAATACAAAGTCATTATTTTTGAACAAAAGTGCATAAAATTATTATGTATCTCATTGAAAAATATACAGTAGGCCCTTGATATAATGGACCAATTAGAAAAAGTTTGTTCACTATTGCAAAAATTTAAATCAAATGTATCTTAAAAATATGTAATAATAACTATCAAGAATGGAAGTATTAAAATTTTATTATAATACAGAGTGCACACAATTTTGTCTATAGTTTATTGCTAAGAACTTTTAGTATTTCCAATGTAGTTTCAGCATTGTAACAAAATAATATTTTCTTCTTTAATGGATATTTAAAAAAAATGCTTTAAAGAAATTACTTAAATTTTTAGATTAGAAAATATTTCTGAATATAAACTTTTAATATTTCAGTATAAAATATAAATTTCCTTTAGATTTACATTTATATTGCAATACCAATAGCAATGCTTGCTCCAAAGTCAAGCAAAACTGCATTGAACAATTAATATTAAGAAATATATTGTAACATCAGTTATTTATATTCTCAACATTTTTTTTAAGACAAATTCAGAAATTGGCTTAAAGTTTAGATGTGCACACAAAAGGCACAAGCTTAAAATGTGCACTAAGTGTATATTTTGTAGATGTTTTAAAGAAAAAATTAAAGTCATAAGTAGTAGCTAAGACTGCCCATTATTCTGAAAAACCTAAATTCATATCTGGATCAGATCTTCAGAAATTTTCATGAGTGATCTAGATATGTTTAAATTTCCGTTTTTCATTATTTGCAGTACAATTTGGATATACCCAAACCTTTAATGGACATATCTTAGTGCTTATAATGAAGAAAGTGTAAATGAAAAATAATTCCATTTAATTATTAAATGCTATAATCTAATGCATTTTTGGCAATTAATTTTTTAGATTCAGAAATAAAATACCTTCAGCATCAAAATATTCATCATCTGAACTAAGATCTGAACTCTGCACAATAGTTTCCATAATCAGATTTCCCATTTGTAAGTCTAAGCAAGAAGCTCCTGAAAAAAATAAATAAAAGGATCATAATTAAATCTGTTTCGTTTTTGCTACAAAGTTATTAATTTAATTAATTTATTTTTTAAGTAAATGCAATACAACATTACATACTTAATGTCTTGTCTTGAGAGCTTAAATGAAAAGAAGAATTGGAAACTTTCTTAATGCTCTCCATTTCTGCATCAATTTCATTTTCAAAATCAGAGGTAGTCTCAGAATTTGATTCTTCTCTTGTTAAGGCACCACTTGATTGGCATGGGTTGTCGTCCTGCTCTAAACACTTGTTGGCAGACATTGTCTTAGCCAACTCTTCCTGAGTTTCTTTTTCTAAACGCCTGATGTCCTCTAATGTCAACCCAACCCATTCATCCTGCCACGCCCAAGCTTGGCGATGTGCTCGGACCATAGTTCTTCTTAATGCTGAAAAATTTAACATATGCAATAAGATGATTTATATATGCATATATAATTAGATTATAAAAATAATATTTTCAAAAAGTAAATTTCATTGTTAAGTATGTTATAGTAAGCAATTTTAATTATTATATTAATTTGTACAATTAATTACATTAACCTATTAAAATATTAATGTAAAATAGATAAAAAATTGTCTGTAAGAAAAGACAAAATAATTTGAATTCAATAATATAAATGAGAAATCAGAAAAATAATATGATGCAATTTGTAAGTAAATAACCAAAAATATGTGATCAGAAATTGATGATAACGAAAATAATTATACAGTCAGCTATAATATAAATATTTGGAATGCAAGTTCCTATTTTTTTTGAACCAGGGCTGTGGAGTCAAAGTCGGAGTCGTGGAGTTTTGATGTTTTAGCCAAAGTCGTCAAAAAATCTGCCGACTCCGACTCCTTTTCACTTACCAACTTGTTATGTATATAAAACGGAAAAGTATTGGAATCATGTCAAATTTGACCCTCCAAGTTTTTTTTTTGCAAATCTACACATTTGGAGACCTCCTGAACCCCTCAAAAAAGTCAATAACGGGGAAAAATTCGCGTGCGAATGTGTGTTGGCATCTAATTTGTTTAATTTCTTTATTTTCTGTTCTGAGATATTAAACAATATCTCAGAATGGGTAAAGTTTAAGAAACGAAATGTGGCACTGTAGCTTGCGTATAAAGGGGCATTAATACTATTAAATTTTGGTTCTTAATTAAAGGTCGACAGGGTGAAGACATAAAAGTGGTCATGTGTCATATCTCTTAATGAATATTTTACTCGTTATTAGCGTTCAAAATTTAAAAAAATAAAATAAAACTTGTCTTTACTCTCAAAGTAAGCTTTTTTGCCATTTTATAATAGTACAGTAAAACCCATTAAGATGTTCTCGCTTAAGATATTAGAATGTATATGGGGACATGATTTAGTTTAACCACTTTGACTTAAATAACTAACTCCTGTGTTAAACCATCTGACTCCGATTCTGATCACTCTGACCACAGAAATTATCAGGCTTCAAACAGGGTGAACGAAATCATGTCCCCCACACACAGTCTAACATCCACACATATAGAAAAAACCTTGGATCTTTTGCTTATCTCAAAATTTCAAGGTGTCCCAAGTCGAAAAATGTAAAAATTTGGGAGGGGTCATTTTTTGACTGAGCGCTACACTTTTCCTCTGTTATATATAACAGAGGAAAAGTGTTTTTAGCTTTGGAATAAAAAGTTTCTACGCTCTATCTTTATTACAACTCTATTTATTGAATATTTTATTCTGAGGTCACGTGATCAGAATCAGAATTTCCGGGTCTCTTTCGGTAACAAGTCTACCCCTAGTCGGAGTTGGATGGTAAGGAAACGTCGGATCGGAGTCAGTACATTTTTACGCGACTCCACAGCCCTGCTTTGAACTCACATGAATACAAGCTGTTTGTCAAAATGTATTCAAGATTAAAGAATGCAATCATTTCATAGAATATAAAATGCAAAATTCTTCTGAAGAACAAATTTTTGCTTTCATTTGACATAAATCTTACAAACACTTTACATCTTTACAATTAATGAAAATGAATAAATTCTGTATACAAACTAATTCACTTCTTAACATTAGATACAATCACTACATCATTCATCCCATATGTATAAACAGCACTAAAAAAAATGTAGGGTTCCCACAAAAATTTTTTGAAGGGCGAACCTTCTGCCTGTTGCAGATCCATGAGCAAAGCTCAAAATAAATAATAATAATAATTACAAATTTATTTTAAATTCAAATAAATTATTTACTATTTTTTAATTTTCATTTTTATTAATGATTAATCCCATAAATCTATATAGTCAACTTATGCTAATTAATGTAATGGAACAGATATCTTTAAAATTCATTTGGAAAATTTTTCTATGTTCCTGTTAAAACCACTATGGCAAACATATGTTTCATAGAGAGAGTTTAGTAATAAAAGTGTCTTTTGAGAATCACTCACTATGAAGAAAGAAAATTACCTTTAATAAAACTAGTTTAAGGTCTGTTACCAAAAAGGGCAGCAAACATGATATAATTTCCAAAGAAATAACAATTTGCATTAGAGCTGATGTTTTTACATGATAAAAACTGCAACAATCTGACTAAATCAGACCAAAAATAATTGTATTCAATCTTTAATTGCAGCTGACAAAAATCAAAAATCATTTAAAATCAACCAATCTGCATCAGTATATTCTATACCAGTATACAACAAAAATTTTGTGCCCATATTTTAGCAGGAACAAGTTGGCAGGAGAGATATGGCAAATAAGCAGTACAGTAATTTGAATTTTTCTTACAGAAAACTCTAATCAAGTTTTACAGAGTTTGTGTGTATAATAAAATTATGTTGAGTTCAAATATAAGCATATATGAATTTTATCTGAATATCAACAATGTAGCAATCCTCAGCAGGATATCTTTACTTATGTTTTTAAACAATAACCAAAGACTGTTATATTAAAACAAAATGAGTGAAATCAGGAGCTTGAAATTAGTAATCACAAACAATTTTAGGAATTAGAAAAACAGAACTGTTTCTGCACAAAAGAAATGTATCACATGATAAAAATCAAATGTTCTAAAAGTCAAAACAATTTGCATCTATTAAAAATTATTCATAATGAAGAAGCATAATTTTCCAACGTTTATATTAACTTCAAAGTTAAATAAATTTATATATATAGTTTTAAAGCTAATAAATTGTCATGNCTTTGTTTATTATCTGATAAATGTATACTTTTTTCGTCAATTGTTTACGATTGCAGATGCCTTTTGTGTAAAATCCAAGTCGGGTGTATGTAAGCTAATAAATGTTCTCGTTAATCTTATCTCGCCTTTTGGTTCGTTCACGGTTACAAGATATCACCACATAGAGTCTCTCAAGTCTCCGTAGATATAACAAACAGAAATAAATTACACAAAATAAATTGTAGCTATGCGTCAATTCCACGCGACACATCCGAACATGTAAGCCGAACAATAGTGTGGGGAGAGTGAGTAATCAAGGGTTGCATGGCGCTCAAACAAAAGACGAATGGACGAGATTTGAAAATTGCGTAACTCCGGGTTCGCGTAAGTTGAGGTAGCGTAAGTCGGGGTATGACTGTATATAAAATTCTTAATTTAAACACTTACCAGTATCATGAATAAATCTTTCAATCTTGCTCTGCATTCCCCAGTATTTAAATTCCACTCGACACAGTTTGTAGGCACACATTATATCTTTTTCAGAATCATTTGCATTTGTCAAGTCTATATTTTGCTTATATAGACTGTATTCTTCAATCCAGTTTTGAGATAGTGGTCCACGTTTTGTCTTCTCAGAAACAAATAGTGTAGGATCTTCTTCACTTCTGTAATCGCTTCCAACCAAAGGATCTCTTACAATATCGATAACATCTGTTAAAATTGATTTTTAAACATTAATAACTTTATTTTATAGATTTTTAATTCTTAAAGAAAAAATGTTTTTTAATTTTGCATTTTTCTGTGTTTGATGATTAATCTAGACACCAACAAATATTTTTAAACATGTAAAAACCATAATTTTAATTTAAAGAAATTTATGCTTATATGAAAATACAGCTATTCTACCAGACAAGTAGCTAATATTGCAGAGTAGTTTGTTAGAGCTTAGCCACTTCTATGGTTTCAACATCCTCATTTCTACAATAAACAAGCTAAATGAATAAAAAAAATTGCATCAAGTTAAGCTGTTTGCTTTGAATAAAAATATTTAATTAATTAGGAAGTGGAATTGTAAATTATTCATCAATAAATTTTGTCATTTCTTTCCATCAATGAATCAATATTAACAAAAAAAAAAAAAAAAGTATAAATACTTAAATAATTCAGTTATTGTGTTGTTATAACTTTCATGGAGTTGCTGAGATGACAATGTTAGTAATATTGAAATTGTTATACACAATCATTGAAAATTTTAATTTGCTACTATAATTAATAGAGAATATCAAAGTGTTGTTTAGTGTGAAACAGATACAATTATCAACAGCAATGTCTAATCTAGGGGTAATGAACTTGTGGCATGTCAAGAGAAATCATCTGGCACCTAATGGATCCAACAATGTTGGTTTATAGTTTGTATTTTTCAATTATCCTTTTGATTTATCATCTAAACAGTCTTTCTGATAGTTGTTTGGAGATGATATGATGCAAACTTTCTTCATATTCAAATAGCAATAAATGCTCAATGTTACAGTGACCCTAAACTATGATTTTGTGAAGGAAGCTGTACACAAGAGTAATGTTATTATTTAATAATGCTTATCTATCTGTAGCCAATTTCACTATTTTAACTGCAACATCTATGAGATAAAGTGTTAAATCTCAATATTCTATTATTATATATTCCTATAACGTAAGAACTTTACAGTACTAACCTACAGTCCTTTGTTTTAATTCATTATTAGATAACTGGAAGACATTCTCAATTTCTCCTCCATCATTGATATACTTAGTTTCAATTTCTAAAAAGAATTTTTCTACAAATGGACAAGTGTATCTAGTTTTTGTATAGGGATAAGCATTCCATGCTTCTTCTTCTACCATAAGTACTGATTTTGGCAAAAGTGTCTTTAGCCAACCTGAAATTAAATTCAACACATTTAATAATTAAATAGTTTTGCTGAAGATTTATTTATTTATATAAGTTGATGATAAGTTTAGCATTATTAATTTATTTAAAATTACCAGGCAAATGACTTCCAATATGATAAACTTTGCGTGTGTATTGGCCGCTTCCCCCTGGACCATCAGTGTATGGCTCATTGACCATAATTTCAACACCACTTTCAGCTCCTTTGGTTTCTTCGCGGCTCTTTTTCTATTCAAAATGAAAAATAATTAATTAACATTCATCTTATAAGAAAAATATAACATAAATCAACTTACTAATAAAAAGAATTTTCTGATTGTTTAAGCAATATATTTGCAATATATATATTTTTTTCTATTATCTAGAGAATTTTTTAATGTCTTGGTGCAAACAATAAACAATTTTAACTGAAGTACAATATATTCCTTCAACTGACTATTATAATTGTTATTGTATCTACCAATATCTAAAGAACAACAGAATTCAAGCATTTAAGGCTAAAAAACAATGCTTCAATTTTTACTTATTTGACTAAAATTAATTAACAAAACAAGAAACTGTAGCTACTAAATAATGTCTGCAGATACTGTATACTTAGCAGAATTAAAACAATTAGCCAGAAGTCTACTCTGCAAATTTTGAGATGAAGTTTTACAATGGCAACTTTTGGGAATATCTTATCAGTCCATATTGCCACAATTATAATAAGTGCAGCATGAAACTTATAGAATTAAAATGTGCAAATACAGATTTTTTTTTGTTGCCTTTCAACCAAATAAAATTCACTCAATAAAAGCCGACCATCCAACAAAATCTTTCATTAGGAAAGAAATTAAATGTTACTGCTGTGGAAGGCCAAATTTAGCAAATGTGTGCAGATTTAAGGATAAACAATGCCATTCTTGCAGAAAAACTAGTCATATTGCAGCCGTTTGTCATAGTGACTTTAAGCAGAAGGATAAATTAAAATTTGCATGTTATTTCAGAGGATGAACCTATTGCTTTAGTTGGTGTGAAAGGATTGGAAATATTTGTCAATAATTTAAACTCTATTAACTTACTGGAAACAAAAACTGAAATGATCCATATTTCCTGAATTTTTTACTCATCGATGTTCCATTTATATTTGAAGTTTGACTCTGGTTAATTGTCTACAATCATAATCAGCATCAAATACTGATTATGATTGTTACCTCGCTCACATTTCCTTGTCTAAATCAAACATTACATTTTGAGCTTATGATGGTTTTCAATTTTCTGCTCAAGGAGAGGTTACCCTGCATGAAGAGAAGTTGAAGTTCTACTTTGGTAATGAAGACAAACCATATCTTTTGGAGTGGAGTTGGTTAAATCAGATACATGTCAAGTGGAAGGATTTGTGAAGTCTAAGAAGTTTATCAGTTAACATCTAGCAAGACATATCAGCAGATTAGTCTGATTCTTGAGATACATCCTGGTCTGCAGGAACTACTAAAGTATCCAAAAATCTTTGGGAAAAATAAAAGGCCTATCTCTGAATTTAAAGCACAAATTCAAGTTAAACCTGGAAGCAAGTCTATTTTTGTTAAAGTCCATTTGCAGTGAAGCCAGCCATAAAGCAGGAATTAAACAGACTCTGTAATGCTGATATCATTAACAAGATCATTGCGCAATACCTATTGTAGTATTGAGAAGGATGATTTGTTTCCTATATTTTGTGCTAGTGCACTTTTCCTGCTAAACCAGACAGCCACGGGACAGAATGATGTCTAGAGTCTCAAGGTCATTCTGTTCCATGCGTCTGCTGTCGTGCCGTCATGCCTCACTGCCAGCTTTCCTTTGCAGTTCATCCACAATAAAACGCTATTGCTGAGTACAGTGGTGCACTCAAAGGGGAACAACAGGGCAATGGAACCTTTTGTTTCCCTTGGAGTGCAGAATTTGTCTAGTATCTTCTATTTATAAACTACTAATGAATTAGCGGTCACATAAGGTGGTCATTTTATTGAATTTGCATTAAAACTTGTTTTTTGTTTAACTTTGCTCCCCCAAGATTAAATCCTGAATGCACCAATGGCTGAGTACTTCTTGTTTCGTTTTCTTCACAAAACACGACAGAGATTAAAGTAGCTACAAGATATTTTTCTTATTCTATTCCTTCCTAGTCTAAGGCCTGTCTTCTGAATTCAACAAAAGACTACTCTAAACTATAAGACACTAAATGGTCATTAAAAATGGAAAGTTTAATAAGCAAAACGAACATGGAGACAGGAAAACACTAAGTACTTTCTTGTTTTGATTATCATTTTGAGTTGCTGATCATAACTAATATAGATAAGAGAACTCTTAGAGCTTTCTTATCCTGATACTAGCGCGCTTATAACTACTATACAATTGAGAATCCATATAAATCCCAGGGAAGATTCCAACTCCATTTGGATCCAATAATACGACCGCGACAGAATGAACCGCACACATTTTTAATTCGAGAGCAGACGATTAAGTTCCGTAGTAGCGCCCTCTACATACTTTAAATTTACAAAAAAAAATCATATTATTAATAGATTACAATTGTAACAAATCAACAATTTTTATACTTCTGTTTATTTTTCTTCCTTCAGTTTTTAAATTATTAAAATGTCTTCATCGTCCCGAATATTTAAAATAATCCTAACTTTATCAAATTGTACAGTACAGTACATCGACTTTCCTATCATAGACATCCGTGCTGACGGCCGGATGGCCGAGCAATCAAGGTGGCAGCCTACCGCTCTGGAGGAACCAGGATCGAATCCGGACGGATCGAAAAATTCCCAGGAATTTTTCGGGGGAGTGGTCCGTCCCTCACCACCCGGCCGTCTCATTGTGGACCTGGCCGAACCCATAATGGGCTTGCTAAAAGAGGCCCTCTTAGTGCCGACAGGGCGAAGAGTTAAAAGAAAAAAAAAAGACATCTGTACATTTACACTCTACGTAAAACTTCTCCAAAGGAAATTACGGATAGCTTTAAATGACTAAAATTAATTAACACTGTTAAATTCCTTGGATTTCGAACTGGAATTGGCACAAGAGAAGCAATCTTTGCCCTCTTTCAAATTGCTGAAAGAAACAATAGATATGAATGTCCCCATCTTTGTGTGCTTTCTGGATTACGAAAAAACATTCGATAAGATACGGCATGACAAACTACTTGAAATACTTTGCAACGTAGGTCTAGATAGAAGAGACATTAAGATCGTTAAGGATGCATATTGAAATCAGAAAAGAAAGGTTAGACTGGAAAATAAAAAATCTGAATGGACTGAAGTGAAAGGAGGGGTTAGACAGGGCTGTGTATTTTCACCAAACCCATATAATGTGTATGCTGAGTAATAATGCGGGAGGCCTTAAAAGAACAGAACAGAAGATGTAAAGTTTAACGAAATAATCGTCAACAATCTCAGATATGCGGACGATACAGTCATTCTCGCTACATCAGAAAAAAAAATACAGATATTGTTAAACGAACTAGTATCAAAAAGTGAAGAAATGTGATTCACAATAAATACAAAGAAGACTAAGCCTTTGAGATGTGGGCAATCAGAAGAATGTTGAAGATCAAGTGGACAAGCAGAACCACTAATGAAACAGTTTTACAGATGGCAAGATACCTTGAATAAGAGATTAGAGTGCTGTCCGAATTTTAGTTTCGGACTTAGCCGTATAGAAGTAGGAAAGAAGGGAAAGCATGAGATACGAAGTGTGAAAAGAAAGGGAGATAGGAAAGTGTGAAGTAAGAGATCGGTACCCGGAGCGCCCGTTCCGGCATTTATTAAAGATAAGATAAAATTTACAATATGTACAGTACAATCGACCCCCCTATAACATGGTAGATATAACCACCCCACCTATAATTCATTTTCTACGAGTCCAGCCAATCACAACCCGGCACGTATGCAGTTTACGGACTACTGCTGTTTGAAAGGTTTCTTCCCTAAAATTAATCGCTTCTAGACTAATTCGACTCAACATTTCCAAAATACGTATAATTTTTTGGGAATAATCCATATAAACTATGCTATAAACAAAAAATTGTAGGATTACTTACCGAGCGTGCACCGTTCGACTACGCCATTGCTTAAGTTTGTTTTCGACGTGGAGTTTGTCATCGAATGGCGCTCGCGTGCTTCCTGATAAATTATTTTTTTTGCGAAAAATTCGCTGAACTTTGGAGACATCATTAATATAAATATAATTTTTATGGAGGTTAAATAATAAATGGTTTTTAGTAGGTTCGCTGCTCGTTTAAACTCAACGGTTTGTACAATATCCGCTATTGCTCTAGATTCGACCAATCCTGTCGCGACAGGAGTCGGCGATGACGTTTTACCGTTCATACGAGTCTCTTTTAGCGTGTTTATACGAATACGATCGCAATTTTTTCGCCGTTACATGCGAATCCGTATCATATGAACCCGTTTTATAGGGGTCTAGTGTATATTTTTACGAGATGGCCGAGCGGTTAAGGCGGCATTCTACCACTCTGGGGAAGCCAGGATAGAATCTGGACTGGTCATAAATCCCAAAAAATTTTCAAGGTTAGTCCAATCAGATATGTCAAGCATCTTCCCTCATCACATGTCACTCCATTGTGGCCTGGCCGAACCTCTGATGGACTTAGGCCACGCCCGGCTAAAAAAAGGCCTTCTAATGCCCTTGGAATAGAGTCAAAAAATTAACACTAATCATTTTTATTAAGTATATTATCGATACGTTGTTTTAATTTAAATTGATTTCAGCTGATTTACTACTGATTTTTAATATTTAAATTTAAAATTTATATTCACGCCGGTGTATAGTGAGACAAAGGATCTTAAAAGTTGGTAGAAAGATAAGTTGTCGAAATTATTACCTTCGTGAACTACACTATCCCCGCTCGATAAACCGAACGTTTATCGAGCGGGAATAGTGTAGTTCACGAACGTATTGACATTTACTCCATTCCTCTTTTCCAGCAGCAGCTCAATAGGAGGAACCTGTTTATAGAGACTAACAGTCTGTAGTTATCGAGTCCTTTCTTAACCGTTGTTGTGAGCCAATTTTTAGAATAATCTTCACAGAATTTCAAACTTTTATTGCGAATACTTCAATTTCAGGTGCATATTAAGATTTTAATGAATATTAATTGAAATTAGATATCAGCTAATTTAAAAGTATGTATATTAGAAAACCATGTCACTATCAAACGCTAATTTTTCGAAATAATGTCAGAAACACTTATAGCCGCGCAGCGAAAGAGTAGCTATGAGTCAGCCTGAGCTGAACTGGTCTAGGTCAGTTGAAAGGGATAGGAGATTTCTTGCTCATATTTGCTTGTTTTTAAGTACTGTATTAGTATTTTTTCACATAACATCGGCTCGTCCCAATGCGTTTACGGGATATGCCACTCACAATATGAGGGTGTTGGTAGATATAACTGAAGTATGTACGAGGCGTGATCAATTGAAACTCCATTGCTCGCTCCACTGAGCGCGTGGTAGGAAAGAGGCAACTATAAACCATGATACTCTGGCAGGAAGCGCTGTTATCGTGCATCGTTTGGTTGGGCAGGGCGCTGAGCATATATGGCGGAGGTTCCAAATCCATCAAAAGTGGATCAACGTACTTTGATTCAATTTTTGGCTGTCAATCGAGTGAAATTTATCGACGCACAAATGCTGTACATGGTGAAAAACGTGTATCGAAGACGACAACGAAGGATTTAGCACGCATGTTTCGAACAGGACATCAGCAAACGGCCGATTTCCCACGCCTTGACCCGGAGCATGTTATCACAACTGATGAGTTTATTGCCGAAATCGACAACTCTGTACGGAGAAGCCTACGTTCGCTTGCAACAGAGTTTGGTGTGACATTTGGCTCAGTTCAGAGTATTATGAAGAACAAACTTTTGCATCGAAAAGTCTGTTCGCAATGGGTTTCGCGGATGCTGATTCGGAAGTATAAGGAAAAGCGTATTGGTTTGTCTGCAAAATCTATGCCGGTACGAAGAATATGGTGACGACTTCCTACTACTCATAGTAGCTAGTGATGAAACGTGATGCCACAGTTTCGGACCACCCAGCAAAGCCGCCAGTATGCAATGGAAGCATGCCAGCTCACCAAAACCAAAGAAACTAAAGACACAACCTTCTGCGGGAAAGATGATGCTGACGGCATTTCTTGACCATGAAGAACCGCTATTGCTGGAGTTCAAAGAGTCCGAAAATACAGTTAATGCTCAGAGCTACACTCAGACACTGAACAACTTGTATCAAGTCATCAGGAGGAAGCGTCCCGACACGTTGACATATGGTGTCATTATTCTTTATGACAATGCGTGTCAATGTTGCCAGAATCATGCAAAAGGCGTTTACGAAGTGACGTTCTTGACCACTCAGCCTTGAGACTTTTATTTGTCTCTCAACAAATTTCCGAAGGGTAAACGCTTCCAAAACGATGATGAACTCAAGGCTGCGGTACTGGAATGGTTGAAGGAACAACCACGGTCCTTTTTGGACAGTATCCGATGCTTGGTGAAGCAAAGTGGGATGCGTGTGTAAATGCCCAGGGTGACTTTTTCTACTAAGACGGTACAGTATGTTTATTCCTTAAACAAAGCTGTTTCTTGTGTTTACTTTGTGATTTCATTGTATTGGTTTGTTGTAATAAATGGGCCTGGACGGGTTTCAGTTGATTACGCTTCATATATATATATATGCACATTGCGTGAACATTAAGCGTCGAAATATTCATTTAACGCATTAGCTTAAGAAAAAGAGTTACAGCAAGTCCGTAATAAGAAAATCCTTTTTATTATTATAAGAAATTCTGGACATTGTGATATCGAAGACCAATTTTTGTTTCTGAGAAAAGAGAGTAACGAACAGGATATCATAAAGATAAGCTTAAACATTTAAAGAAAAAATAAAGCTGCTTCAAGTCCGATTTTAAATCTCGTTGGAGGAAGGCATGCAGAATAGAAGGAAGATTTCCGGAAAAAAAAAAATCGAAATTGGCTAGCTACACCAGTTTCATTTCATCATCCTCCGTCTCAGAGAAGAAACTTTATGACATCCAAATGAGTTTACAAGCGTGGAAACAAGCACAAGCTATTCTTTAACTAATGTGATGATAGACAGTTAATTAAAAATTATTTCGTGTTTTATATTATGGTCGGAATATTTCGCCGTAAAGTATAGAAAAAGAAGAATAAAACAATCATCTACACCTAAATAAAAGTTTAAAATTGTCATATATAATGTCTAAACAGCGTATGGGTTTGTCTGCAAAATCTATACCGAATAATACTATATATTGTTTAATAACAGAATTAATGGAAACAGCGGGAAGAATTTTCAACAGATTCAGAAATTATTTAAAATATAATCAGTGACTAATTACTCAGCGCTGAATACACTAATTGTCAACAAAATTAGTTTTGTAATTAGATAAAATATTAATTCTACAATTAATCAACTAAAGCAGATCAGAATGAATGCATCTGTTTCTTTTATATTACTGCTTAGAGTAATTAAAAATGGCTACTTAGAATGTAAGAAATGCTGTTGTTTAATATTTTAATGATGAAAGAAGCAGAATTTGCATTATAAATTTAATCTTCTATCTTTAAAAGATTTGCATTTGGTGATTACAATGCTTAGTAAATTGAAAACATTTCAGAAATTTTAAATATTAAAATAAAATTTCAAGAAAATGTGCTTAAAATATTCATGTTGGATGCTAAGACATTTAGAATACGTTTTAAAAGTATATCACCATTAAATTAAACTGTAGAATCCTATGATTTCTGTAGGAAGAATGTATTAACCTTAGTAGTAACTACTGTATTTTACTTAATTGTCTCAAACTTCCAATTGATAGAGATATAGGAGACTTATCACATTGTGTTGAAGCGACAAAATGATGTGATCTCAATTATTTTGTTGCCCCAATACAGTTTGATAAGTCTCCTATATTGCCACCAATTGGAAGTTTGAGATAATGAATAATTCATTGGAGGCAAGAGGCTTATAATTAAATACTGTATTTTATTTTAATTTCGTTCTCTGCATATTACTTTATGAAGAATCCTTAGAGCAATATGCAGAGATCTCATATATTATAAGAACTCATAGAAAACCTTCATCTGCTTATTAATTTACAAAGATACCTTTATATACTCTTATCATTAGCTTATTAACTACCAAAGAATCATTTGCAATGATGGCATGTAATCCTTTTATGATGAAACTTTTGAAAGAGTATTTGCAAAAGATCCATCAATATCTTATGGAGTGACTTTTATAACCAATTTTTAAGATGGAAGCCATAAATATATTCAACTCCAAATGCTAAATTTAACTAAAGATCAATCGATAGATTGACAGCAACGCCATAAATTCACATCGTATGAGTATATTCCATCTTGCTTCTACTCGATATAATCACTTTAACAATGCCAGAAACCAGTGCTTTGACTTTAAAAATCACTTGAATATCTTTATAATAATATAAATTTCGACTGAAATTCCTATTTTAAATTGAAATTCGTATGACTTTTATTCTTCAGTCTCAATAGTTTAAAGACTTGGTGAGTTTCAATACGCCTAAGGAGCAAAATAATTGCAGCTCTTCGTGAGAACAATAAATATAAATGGTGCCATTTTCGTGAAATTCATTAACAGAGATTATTTGTAAAAATTATTATTTAATAAAATTAATCAAATTATAAATTCAAATCGAGTGATTGCTGCAAACAATCTTCTCTAAACGTTTGCAACGTATCGACTGAGGGAGTCTCCATAACGAAATTAATGGAATGACATCGAATGAATTTTAAATTTTAATTTATTATATCCGAATGGATTAATATTACTGCGGTCGAAAATCGAGTAAACATTTAAATCTATTAAATTAAATATAATGGAAGCAGATGGCAAGAATGAACTTCGTACAGTTCATCTCGTAAATCGATATATCGAAACAATTCTCGTTCGCTCGTTTATTACGGTAAGTAATTGCAAATTTTCATTGTTACTATTAGTTTAATAATGATTTAAATCTCAAAAGTTTATATTTTTCATATAATACATCATAATATCAACTATAATTCCGCATCTCAGTCATGAAAATCAGTTGCAACCATTCTGCTCCACGAAGTCTAAAGCTTCTGATGTGTAACGATAACTGTGGAGGATAATGTAACAAAGATCGCGAAAATATCTTAAATACTTAGACTCTATTCCATGAACGTCATAGATGATGCCATTATTGAATCACCTGTAGAATCGAGAATCAAAATGGCATTACAATACTCCCAATTATAATCATAAAATTAACGGTAAAAAAATACTTGGCAATGCAAATTTGTCACTAAAAAATTTCAAAATTATGTTAATAATATAAATAATTAATACAACAAAATTAGAATACTTACGGCAATCATATAAAGTTGAGCTACTTGATACTCCTTCACTGATAATGGTAGCGGAATGCGATATTCCTTCACTAGCATTTTGATTATTGTAATTAATACTGAACTATGAGCATTTAATGTGCTATCTCGAACATCTTCCCATAGCAAATGTATTGATTTTATAATCGAATCATCGATCGTTTACACATTATCGTAGTAAACATGGCATTATTTTGATCACGCATTACATCGAAGTGGACATTTTCAGAAGAGTAAAACCTGCAAAAATGTAAGAAATATTTTTAAAATTTTCAATTTTTGTATTGGAAAATCATTAATATTGATAAATAATATAATACAATGCATCAAAATGAAAAGGGATGATCGATTGAAACCGTATTTAAAGTTGTTATCCGTTAATACGTCAATACATTTAGTTCTAGGCACCAAAATGGTGGATGGGCCACGCGATTGGAAGGGTTCAATATGACACTAAAGGAAGATTATTATTTAATTTTGACTTCTACACATGAAAAATATAATTATTTTACACTCTTCTAGGTATTTATAAGCGAACTATTTACATAAATTGCAATTACTTCTTTGTGGTGCTACAAATATATTTTCATAGCGGTTTTTTATTTGTTTTTATAAATTTAATGTAAAAAAATCTGATTTATAGTAAGATTTTACAGCAAATTATATTAAAATAATGCAGTAAATTGTGCATAAATCTCAGAAATAATGTATTGCAATTGTTCTAAGTCGAACTCACTAGTATTGTGGATCTTAAAAATAACACTTTTCTAAGACTTTTTTCATAATTTAAAATGTCAAAACTAATGTTTAAATCAATGTTAAGAAAATAAAAAAAATTTGTATCGACATATTATTTACCATTTCGGTAAACCTACGCTTTATATTGATTATTCTTGCTAACCTTTTGGATATATTTTATTGATTGTTTTCGACCATTTGGTAAAGAACAATTAACAGACCAATTACAGAACTAAAATTTACTCTTTTGGTATCAAACTTTCAAAATTTCCTTTCAAGTAAAACATAAATTTTTGTTTTGAAGGTTCAAATCAAGTTTGAAATTTACTGCCCTTCTTACAAAACCATTGATAATGTTTGTGTGTAATCATGATTTATTCAAGAAAGAAAAGAAGAATCCCGTTGTATTCGTGAGTAAACTTTAGATAAATTCTTTAAGTGATCTCAGATCACTCAAAGAATTTTCCAAAAATTTATTAATTACTACTAAAAAATAAAAAAAAACCTCCATAAATCATAAAGTTTCCAAGAGTTCAAGGTTAAGCATCTTTATATTTTATTGACAAAGAGATAGGAGGAATTTCAATCATAAAATCAAAAGTTATCAAAGCGTAAACGAAAACATGTCATATTTTACAAGATTTTCAATTATATTTTAACATTATAAATACATAAATAAATAAATATTGAGTGTGTAGTAATATTTATACAGGTGTTATGCAATTTGGTAATTGCAGTTGGTTTTTTAAATTAAAAATTGGAATTCATGTTAATACTTTAAGTATTAACATGAATTCCAATTTTTAATTTAAAAAACCGATACGAAAAATCACAATCCGATACGAAAAATCACAATTTATTATATCGAAAATTTAAATATAAGGCGCTAATGGAGTCCGCCAGTGTCTGCGTGTATAAAACCAGTGAACACTGATAATAGGTGAGGTCGCGGGTTTGCGCCTTACCAACGTAAATTTTCCTGCTTTTATTTACTTGTCTAACATGGAAATAGGGGCTCGTTTCCTTATATAAAGTCCTCTCTCTTCTCAGAAGGTACCCCTTTGGCAGATTCACACGTGTTGCGCTGTCTTATTCCATCGATTCATTTGAATATGGCGGCAGTGAAAATGAGAGCAACCACGAGATATTTAACATGAAATTATTCCGCAGGCATTAAATATTAAGATGAAACGAAAACACGAAAATATAGCTATTAGATTGGCAACAATAATTAAGACAATGAGCGCCAACCACAACCAATCACGTACTGTAATCACATTCTTTGGTTAGTTCCATTATTATTATTATTATTTTATTTTTGAATTTTACTACGTTATGTAGTAAAATTCAAAAAGAAATAATGGAATGGATGCTAATTGAACGNTGCTAAGTTAACAAAAGATAATATACTTTATGACTTGTGGTATTCTTAAAGGAAAGGTGAAATTATGTCTTATACAACTGCTTTACTCATAATTATACTCCTTGTTAATTACCCTAATTGTCTTTGCTCTATCATTAGTAGATATCATTTATTTGCCACTGGCATATTTTTGGAAGATTGGGCCTCAGAAAAACCTTCTATAATAGGCTAATTTTAGGAGCACGATTTTGTGCTCCTAAAATTTGCCTATTGTAAAATTGGTTTGGTTATACGTGATTTCGCTTAAAGTCGCAGTTTCTAAGAACCTATCGACGACGTTAAAATGAGAACTTGATGTAATCTAATAAGTAAATAAATATTACAATTAGCAATTTATTAATTCACTAATACATTAAAGAAATTATATACATATATACATATATAAGATTAAAAGTTATTACAGTAACCTGTACGTGAAAAGTGTTTTAATGTTAAGCAAACTCATTTTCTAAGAGATTGAGCTAATGCTAGAAAATAATAATAATAATAACAAAGAAACTACTAAAATAATGTCTAGTTTCGTGGTCCCGTCGCGGTCTCACACAAATTAGGAAAATTTAAAAATTAATTTGATTTTCAATTTGGTAAATTTCAAAACAACTTTTAACTGATAATAGGTATGAAAACAATCGTTTACTTCTCGCCAACTGTCGCAATGATAATTTAATCCAATACTTATAAATTTTTAATATCAATAATTTAACCTTCAAATATTCTAACTGTATAAAGCAAACATTTCCGAGTAATGTCTCTGTAATAGGCTATATTATACAGTGCTTACAAGATATCATCAGCAAAAGATTATTAAATAAAATTGATTTAAACCAAAGAAACGTCGAATAAAATTATTATTAGATATAATTTTCCAATTATCATTACTATTATAATTGTGAAACAATATACAGTATTTTATCTTTCACTCTTTTTTTACGGGTATATTTTATGAAGTATTTTTAGTTGGAAGAAACTTTCTGGTCTTTCAGAACAGAAAATAATATATTTATTTCGATATGTCGACAAATTGTATTACTTAGAAAAGATGAAAAAACATATTAATGCCTGTTATATCATTATTACTATTATTATACAGTATACACACAACTCATCAGGTATTAGTGACTGGATTTGGCCTTTGAACATCAATTCTCTCCTGGAGCATACACCTGTGATGTAATGTGTAAAGATGTTTGTGAAAAATATATGCTGTTCCATTATTATTATTATTATTTTATTTTTGAATTTTACTACGTTATGTAGTAAAATTCAAAAAGAAATAATGGAATGGATGCTAATTGAACGTGGAAGAGGGGGGAAAAACCAAAGAAACAGGTGGAGAAACGAGATTGATCAATTTGCTGAAGTGCAATGAATGAGAGTAGAGAAGAGGAGAGACCTGGAGAGTCATAGAAAAGATTTTCTTTCAACAATAGACTGTAAATGCTTGACAAAGAATACTGGCAAAATGCTTAGCAAATTAACGTTTACTATTAAGAAGTTACTTATCTACATATGTTTCTAATGCAAATTAGTCCCAAGGATGATGATCTGTACGTAACATGTCGAGAAAATGAATGATTCGAAGCAATTTTTGTATAAATACACCTGGAATCAATACAATAATTACGAAAAACAGTTTCCAAGTACATGCTTTCTTGTCAGTTAACCGTGTTTGCACAATAAACACAGTTAATTGACTTTTGGGTTCGATCTCTTAGAGTATCGCAACAAGGCATTGTAAACTGTAAACAAAGTACAGAAAATAAAGAATATTTATCAGCAGGCTCAGATAGAGAGTGAGACCATCAAGGTCATTTGGCTCATTTCCCGGACACACAGGGCCCAAAACGTTACATTTCTCTGTGGAGATGAAATGACAGTAAGTTATTCATAATAATCTATCAATATTGTTTAAGAAGAAATGAAAAGGAAGGAATTAAAATGAATTTTTAGCAAATATTTGTTACAAATGTGAAGTTTATGACATACGACAATGTAAAAAAATGATGAATTGCTACAGATATTATCAGAAAATTCTCAAATGATATAAAAAGTAATGAAAAACTACTTATAAAAAACTGCTCAATCGATGATAGTAACGTTTGTATCGAATCCACCGAAGAATATGAAATTAATAAAACTTTTAATTACATAATAATAAAGAAAACAAAGATTCCTTTCAGTTTACTTAAAGATTTTATCTAGAAAACTAATTTCATACCAAAAGAATTGTTTGTTCCTGATATACTTGAACTCTGTCCAACTCACAAATTAACCCAAATTCGAAACTAGACGTAGTGTAACAAAATTCGGAGGATATTAAGAAAGTTATAAATCATAATTATTAAACAATTTTCTTTAAAAAATGGTTATCTGAATTAAAATTATAAGTTTTTGGCAGAATTATTAAAAGAGGATCCAAAAACTCTTAACAATAAAAGTGGTTAAGTCAAAATTTTTTAAATATGTCTATCAATTTTAAACTTGTTAAATTTAAATTTTCAAATTTCATAACAACCAATCATCGTTTAGATATAATTCAAAAGAAATCGTACGTATATCGCGGAGGACGACTTATGTTCGCAGCTTTTTTTTTAATTGTTTTTTCTTCTCAAAATTTAATTCTTTATGCACAATTCGTTGGAAAATAGCGAGAATATCTAATTCATTAATTCTGGTGTCGGTTTTTTAAGGAATTTACGTTATTCTAAGGAATTTTTTTAACATCGTAGAGTTAAAGATTCCTTCATATTTTAAATTTAAAGTGAAATTTATGTTTTTTGGTTTATCATTTAAAGAGGAAATTTCCAAAAGTTTCTCTGGAAAGACCAGAACGTAGATAAGAAGTCTCTCTTAACAACGTTTAAGCATTGTTAAGAAACTAATGTTTAATTCTTAAAATGTATTAAGTTAAAACAATAAAAATCCAATTTATTTTGATATTTTGCACAAAATTAAATTACTTGATCTAAAAAAAAATGGCGTAAATTTTAGTTAAAATGTAATACAATTTTCATGTTTTGGCTTACCAGAAGAAGAATTACGAATAAAGGACAAATTGTTCTGTAAAGGTGGACATTATGCGTGTGTTTAAATAGCAAGGGAAGACATTTTAAAGTTAAAATGGAGGGCACGTACTCCATATAGTAGCCAAGAAAAGGAGCATTTCCTTTATTTTGGAAGACATGTCCACCTTTTGAATTACATACCTAAACGCGAGATATTAATACATTATAGACTGTATAAAAAGCCACAATTACTCCCATTGTGAATGGACTTAATCTACAACGGTATCGACTATTCTTGGATCTACACTACCCATAATAAATTATAGGGATTTGGCATTGAGTCGGAATCTGAATCCTACATAATGACAGACTTTATAACTGTATAATCAAATACCTGTAGTTCAAATTACACATTTCTTAAATATATTCTATATTTACCAGCAAATTGATGAGCATTTTATCTCGTTTAGCATACTTATAAACATCACGTATTTAGCAATATAAAACTGCTTCGCGCTTCCATCAAGTGGCTCCAGGTTCGATTTTTGCATATGGCCAATACCGCGCTTCTAACTTCTAATTAAAATTTATAAATATTAATATTTTTAACCTTAAAATTACTTCAAATAATTCGAATTTTAACCTCATTTCTATCATATTCTACGATTAGAATAACATAAAAACTCTTAGGAATTATTCTGACACGTGATAACAATTCAGAAGGTCAAACTGTAGAGATTTAAGTGGCATCTTTTGAAAACTTGTAGTTTTCTTGTCTTATTTTTAGAAACTTTCTATTAATATCTTTATAAACATTTTCTTTGGTAACTTTAGAACAATAAAGCATTTACAAGCCATAATTTTTTAGATAAACTAACCTTTAAAAATGCAAAAATATATATATATTTAAGCTTTAAAACCTTATTAAACTGTAAACATATCGAGATTTTTGCAATTTTTTAATTGTTTCTATGCTTTATTTTTTACAAAAAAAGAAAAATTATATAAAATTAATTCAGGTCATGCTAAATAATTCAATTAAAAGTTTGGGTAATTTAATCATTTTTAAACTAAAATAAATAGAAAAAAAAACGTTTAAAAATTAATTGTTTTTGATATTAAAAGCATTTAAAAAATACTTTCATTAAAAAACATTTATTAAAAATACTCTTTCATTAAAAAAGATTGAATCAAAAGTTACTTTACTTTTTTTTTATTCTGTTCAGTTGATGTATGATCAATAATTGAATTCTAGATTTAATAAAATTTTTGTAGCCGGAACCACAATTGAAGTTCGAAGCTTTTATTATATATTTAGTGACTTAAACTGCTGTAAATTTAATACATAAATTAGATTCAGTATACTAAACAAAGAGAAGAAAGGAGCTTGCAAACTCTGATGTTCTCGCCTAAAGATTTCCAATTTTTTTAAATGGATATGTACAATTAACGTTAAAAAATAAATAATTTATAAAGAAAAAGACGTCGTATCTTATTAATAACTCGAAAATTTTATATATCTTCTAGTGTTTTCAACTCTAAATTCAAGACTGCTGTAATTTTTAGATGAGTACTTTCTATGTTAAAAATTAATAAACAACCTTAAATAAACCTTTCAGAAGTTATTTTACTCGATTTTTAATTTTTTAAATAGCAATTTATGTTATTTTTTTTTACTCCTTAGGAAGGTAAATTAATCAAAAACAAAAATCAATCTTTATCAATGAATGAATGAATTGGAATTTAAGTTTCCAACTGTTTTTTTTTTTTAAATCACTATTCGCTTTTAACGTTTAAAAATTGAATTAAAATAGATTTATTTTATTTGTAAAGTTTAAAATTTTTATATTTTTAAAGCTTAGAAGTGGTTTAAATCATTCTCATCTACACTTTTATATGTTGAAAATGAATGTTTTCATACAGTATAAAAGAAAGAAAATAAATGATTTGGCATCAACAGAAAGATCGATGGGCTTCAAAACAAATCAATAATCAAAACCACCATTAAAATATACAATCAAATAAATTTAATTAAAAAAAAAAATTTTAAATAACCGTAACATTTTATTAATAAAAAAAACACACCCTTTACTCTCATATAAATCACTCGTTAATCCAATTAAATTATCATTAAATCTATAAAATTATAGGAAAATAAATAATTTAACTTTTTAAAGAAAATAATTTAATAAAAAAAATTTATTTTTATTAATTTTCTATATTAATATCTAACACCATTTACATCATTTTTACTTAAAATCATATTTTAAAAAAGCCATTTATATTATTAATTTTATTACAGAAAATATAGGTAATTTAATAAATAAATAAAAAAAAGGAGTTATTAGGCGAAACAAGTCGTCAATCTTTTATTTTATCCCTCTTAAAAAAAAATTAAAAATAAAAATGAATTAAAAAAAAACACACATGAGAAAAACCTTCGTAGGTATCGTATAGTGGTCATAAATTACCTAAAATAAGGCTTTTTTTCGTTATTGACGTACCTGAAAGTAGTTTAAGTTAAGAACGAGACGTACAGACGTTTGTACGGGAGCCAAAAATCACAACACTGCAGAAACAGACATATCCTGACAGCCATTTTGTTGCGCAGTATAGTTGCAATCAATGAATACACGTCAACGATCTTCGAACGACACGCATTTTAGCGACGTTGGAAGGGAATTTTAGTGTCACCTAAGCTAATTTAACATTCAAAAATAGCATACAGGCACTCAGAAGGTGCTATTTAAAGCATTGCTTCGAACGATAAGTTTCTTCTCCTGCATCGAGAAAGGGTGTTATAAAAAAAAAAAAAAAATCTACTTTAACTAATCGATAACTTAAAGGGGATTAAGACGTGTACATCATCCTTTAACGTACGCCTCCACCCCCAAAACAAAAAAAAAAACAACATAATTTTATCATCAAATCTCTCAACTAATCAGACTTTTAATGAAATTAGAAGAAAGTATAATGCATTTTAAAGTGCATACAAGACTAAGAAATTAATTAGACAGGCTCGAATCTTGTAGTTTAACTCGATTTTCCGCTTCTCTTTTTGATTTTTAGGAGGTTTTTTTTTAATTTTTAGAGTTTAAAATGTGTAATCAGCTTAACTTTAACCTTTCGAAGAGAGAGAGAGAGGTGTATTACTCAATAGAGGAAACAAATAATACACAGTCAGCAAATGACCTCTCGAGTAGTTAAAGGTCAAACTTAAACAATTCACCATTTTGTGAATTTATAAATTGAAGTATTTTTTTTTAAATCTGTGCACATATAACTTCTTAAAAAAATTTCAAAAATCTTATGTAAATTCTTCTCTTAATTCCTTAATCTTCTCAACCTTAAGTTTAGCATCATCCTACAAATCCGGATCTCATCCTGGTTATCTTTATAGAGCAATGTGAGAGTTGAAACGTTGGAGTAATATTACCAAATTTGAAAAAAATAGAAAAGCTTAGATATTAAAGTATCAACGAATAGTTCGCGATCTACTCGTTAGGTCCAAAAAAAAAAAACACCACTAAGTTAGCAAATATAACGTTTTTATCCGGTGGATCGCGAGCTACCGGTTGATAAATTAGGCTTTAATTTGGTTATAAAATTATTCAAAGCTTTATGCAATCGTGTTGAATTATTTTTCATTTTTTAACGTATTTCCCTTTACGTTTGAAACCGAAGATTTATTTTAATTTTCATAAATTTTCCTGCAGAAATGAATTTCTCGCATTCAAATATGAACTAGAAGAAAGGACTTGTTGGATTAGACAGATTACGATTCTACCTCATTCTGACGTCATTCGCTCGCTCTCTCTATCTCCCATACATTGAAAAGGACAAACAGTGAGTCAAATGACGTGCATACTTTAGAAATCTTCCCTACAAAATTCCCCCCAAAAATTATGAACGATTAATAAAATAATTTTTATTTTTTGAAAAATATCCCTTAGAGATCTTTTTCGTCAATTTGTGGATCGATAAAGGCCGAAACAATTAATTATATGTACTTTTTTCCTTACATTTCATAAGCTAATTCCCACCTATCTGATGTTACGTATCTTTCAATATTGATTTTAAACCAAGAAATAATTTTTTTTGTATCTTTGGCAAAAGAGAAAATATGAATCTGAAGTAATATTTCTTAATACTTTTTTTTTTTTTTAATTTAATTCCTTTCAGAATTCCTTAAATTATTAAGAGAAAAATCAGCGGGTAGTTCGCGATCTTCTGATAGCTGTTATCAAACTGTGTGTCATATTAGTGCCTTTTCATCCTCTAGATCGCGAACCACCTGTTGGTTATAAAATATATTTTATCATAAAAAGTCAGTAGATCGCGATTTACCGGTTGATAAAATGGAATAAAGAGAATACACAGACGAAATTACGAAAGAATTTTTTAAAATTCTTACATTTGTATTGTGTTTAACACACTTAAAAGATAACCGTGTAATTCATTTCATTCTCTTAAGAGTACTTTAATAGAAGCAGGGATGTTTTCAGTCTCTCTCTCTCTCTCCTGTAACTAAACTGCATTTATCTGATAATGAAGATTATAATTGAGCGTGCTGAGTTTTAAATGAAAACATCATTAACCATTAAAATTGTATTGTTGTTCAATCATCTTTGCGAATGACATTCGTTCTTTAATTACAAACTCCCCGCTACGATTCTTCCTTTTTTTTTTGTTAAATTACGCACTCGAGTCATTAAAAAGATCCTAAAGATTCGGTATTTTACCCGATAAACCCTCCCAAAAAAAAAATAAAAGCGCCTACTGATTCCACCTTCAATTATTCGCCATATTTGCTCGTGTACGTTGCATTTTAGCGAGTTAAACGTTAGTTAACTGCATATTCCTTCCTCTTAAACGAACAGAAACACAAGAAATCGTTTATTTAACACAATAAACATAAGATCTATTTGTCCAGTGTTTTCTATTTTATGTAAATTTTTCAAATAATTAAATTTTCGCATTGTCACAGATGCGCCGTCAAAAGAAAACAAAGATGTTGAACAATTTTTAAAATATATATAAATATATTTATTTAAAAAAATTAAATTCCATTCTTTGCTTTTTATCTGTGTGTAACGCTGTATTCCTTGTAGTTTTCCACTGCTACGCTTACAGTTTCTTGGATTAAAAATGAACACAGAAAATCACTAAGAACAACTGAAGATTTTGGGACAAAAACGTCTTAACTCAGTTCTTCGTTGAAATTTCTTCATAATTAAGTTTCTACAAACATAAGACAGGTATAATTTCCAGATTCGTGACCCAAATCTTCTCGTGCATTGGTTTATTAACGTTTAATTTAATTAGGACAAATCACCTGTGATCTGTTCTAAAATACAGAGTAAATTTGGAACTTTAGAGTAATTTTCCAAGAAATTTTAAAAATGAATTAACGTGTTCTTGTCCCAATGTCTTCAACTATACTAATATAACACAATACAGCTGTGAAAGGTAATAGAGAGAAAATTAAGATTACTCAGGCATGTCTACAGAATAATTAACCACTAAAGAGTAACCCCCTAATGCATCATAATACCTCAAGTATGACATCATAAAGTGATATATATATGAATGGTGAGGAGGCAAATTACAACAACTGAGCCATCATGCAAAGATAAGAGAGATAGGGAGAGTGATTACAAGAAAAATATCACAGTAAAGATAACAATGGCCTGTTGAGCCCAAGAATGTAAGTATAAATTCCTTCAGACCACAGTAAACCTGATTTTTTTTAATAATAAAAGTATATTCTTGTAATTTATTCATAATACACTACATATTTCAATACGTTACGAACCATTATAAAGATTTATAGAAGCATAAATCTCGAAATTTCACTGTAATCAATGTTAGGATTCGTGTCTTTCCCTTATAATGCGGGTTCTCTGCACACGTCGTGCTTCGTGATGTGTTTTCTATCATTTAAACAACGTGTATAAGAATTTTAATGAAATTCTGTTTTTGTTTATTGGCTAAATAAATCATAGAGTACATCATCATATTCTCTAAACGTCAGGAATAAAGATCTGAACATTTCGTCACGCAAGAATTCTAAGTTATTTGGTAAAGTCAAGTTTAGAAAGAATTAATTACAAATGAAAAAATCCTCGTAGAGAATAGGTTAAAAAAAAAAAAAACAAAAGCCTAAGCGAATATTGCTTCTGATTATAAAAATGAGAAAATTAGTATAAAATTGAGTTAAAAATTAGAACGAAAATGAATTATTGTTCATCAGAATTCTTATTTTTGTATTTATTCAACATGAAGTACTGTACAAAGACACATCAAAAAGTAATACACTGTATAAGTTCAGTGTAAAGGATATCGTGTCTCAGATCTTTTCAAAATATCAATTACATACTCGAATAACTTACTGTAAGTTGAATACAATGATATACAGTACTGTACTTGGCTGATAAGTGAGTACAGTGTGACACTATGAAGATTGGTGTTCGTGGGTTCACGTAGAGTTTTCCGACTTTTCTTGACATGGGGTTAGTTTTTCACAGAAAGTTCTCCCACACTTGAATGACCGCCCATGTTTGGTTGCCGTATACCATCAATCTAATTTCTAAAGATGGAAAGTTGAGGTGATCCCCTTTTCGTTATTTGAGCAGAAACTGTTTAAAAATATCACCGGTTGTTTCTTCAATAAGTTTACAATCATTTGGAATGGGTATTAGTACATCCTTTCCTCCTTTTACCACAGGACACTTTTTGATGATTTCCTCCTCTTTTTGCACTTAAATTGCGTAGTTTTATGCGTTTTTCTATTTCTGTTTATGAGTGTAAAATTAAATTTTTAATTAATACGTTTTTTTAATATATTTTTATATTTAAATACCTTCCTCTGATGTAAAATAACAAGGACGATTCTGCTGTTTGTAAACATGAGAAAGGAATGTATTGATGACACGACAGCAAGGAGGACATAGTTTTATTTTGGCATCATTAAATTTTGCAAAGGATAATGGAAGAAGAAAGAATGAATTTTCATGTAAACTGGCTACAGCTTTATTACGGCCAGGGATTGTTTAACAAGGTATATCATTCTGCATTCAAAAACTTCCTAGAAAAGTAGGTTAAGCACTCAATTCCTGACCAAATCACTCTAAGGAAAAATCTATGCAGTCTGTTTATGAAGAGGCAACTTAAAAAAAATAAAAATAAATACAGGAAATATTAGGAAATGACCCAGTCTTTTTCATTTTGGATGTACTAAAAAGGTACGTTCTAAACATTCCCGTCGGCTATCTAACAGGGGAATCGGAACAACCCATGTTTTTAAGAGTTTACAAATTAGAAAAGACAAATCCCAGAACTGTTATGAAGGTCTTCAATTATGCGTGTACCAAATTTCAGAACTCTGCCATTCCCTACGAAAAATTTTGGTTTCTTGTAATAGACCATATATGCTAAATGCATGCACAAATATAAAGTTGATGTATCCGAATATGAAACATGTTGTCTTGCCTGTTGCCTTAACAAGGTATGTGAAGCAACGATTTAATTTCGGAAATGAAAAAAAAGGCTTTGTTTAAATGTATCGTACATCTATATAAAGAGTTAACTGTCTTGCCACTCCCAAAACACTGTAATAACCAGGCAGACACACATGGATTCAAGTGGAATATGAAGTGGCAATGAGAAATATTGCCGTAAAAAACAAGGCATTGTTTTTACGGCAATATTTCTCATTGATAAACTGGACGGAATGTCTTTAACGGCTGCAATAATACTCAG